GGCAGCGCTCGCCGCCGCGCTCGAGGAGCTCGAGCGGTGCCCGCCGCTCGTGTTCGCCGGCGAGGCGCGCGCGCTGGAGGAGAAGCTGGGGGAGGCGGCTCTGGGGAAGGCGTTCCTGCTGCAGGTGAGGATGTGACTGGCGACCGCGTATCGGCGAGCTAGAGCTTGAGCAGGGATTTCCTGTCGAAGGCTAAGTCTTTTCATTTTGGTTAGCGCCCTCGATCCGTCACGTTCTTTTGGGAGTGTCATTAAACATAAGATGTCATATTTCTTTCCTTTTTGGATCTCCATCCTTGTCCCTGCGCTTCCCGCTTCCCCTGTTTCCCTCTTGTGGCTGCTCCGCCGCACACGAAATCTGCCTCTTTCCCGTCCCCCGCTTTATTGACTCCCCTCCGCGTCCCCCCCGCAGGGTGGCGACTGCGCGGAGAGCTTCAAGGAGTTCCGCGCGGACAACATCCGCGACACCTTCCGCGTGCTGCTGCAGATGGCCGTCGTCCTCACCTTCGGAGGCCAGATGCCCGTCATCAAGGTGAGCTGACGTCATCAAGGTGAGCTGACGTCATCAAGGTGAGCTGACGTCACTAAGGTGAGCTGACGTCATCAAGGAGCGGTGACATCATGAAGGTGCAGTGACGTCATGAAGGTGCGGTGACGTCATCAAGGTGAGATGGCGTCATCAAGGTGAGGCGCGCGGGAATGCCATTATCAAGATGAGATGCCATGCCACCGTAAGGTCATCAACGTCAGGCTCGCGCAGGTGACGGCCATCAGTTTCAGACCGCGCGTTGATGATGGGCGTTAGCGGGAGACGCGCGTAAGTGTCGTCGTTAGGGAATGGTGCGAAGAAGGAAAAGACAAAAACGTGTGAGGCGAATCGAAAACAAAATAACTCATCGTCATCTACAGCCCTTCGGTCGTCCGTAGTCAATCTCCGTTGGTGGTTCGGCGCTCCGCCGCTTCAGCCATCTCACGCGGACACGGTCGTCGCCCTGTCGTGCCATCACGTTGGCGGGCCGCGGGCATCGCAGGGGCCTTCTCGTGACTCATCGTGCCTCCAATACATCACCTATGCTTTTTGTCGATTCTTAGGTCTTGCCCTTTTTCTCAATCTGTCGCGGCTCCGCGTCCCTCGCTGTCGTTTTGCTAATCCTGAATATCCTTTCGTCCCCTTCTCCCCGTCCCCTCCCCCTCCCCTTCCCCCCTTCCCCCGTTGTCCCCCTCCTCCTCCCGCGGCATCCCCGAGGGCAGGTTGGGCGCATGGCGGGGCAGTTCGCCAAGCCGCGCTCCGACCCCCTGGAGACGCGCGGCGACGTCAGCCTGCCGTCGTACCGCGGCGACAACATCAACGGCGACGCCTTCACAGCCGAGTCGCGCGTGCCCGACCCGCAGCGGCTGGTGAAGGCGTACAGCCAGGCGGCGGCGACGCTGAACCTGCTGCGCGCGTTCGCGACGGGCGGGTACGCCGCCATGGAGCGCGTGAGCAAGTGGGAGCTCGCCTTCATGGAGAACCAGGAGCAGGCCTCCCGGTGAGTCGCTTAGAGGAGGTGGATAGTAATATCGCGCAGAAGTAGCTCAGATTCGTGCGATATTATTATCTCGAGTCATCAGGATGCTCATTTGATGCAAGAGGATATCCAGCCAGACATGAGTGAATGAATGCGACCATGCTCCCCTAGCGGGGCCCTGTGTCGCCCCACAGGCACGACCGCCTCCGCGGTGGACGACGAGGCGGAGGCGCGCAGAGGCACGAGGCAGTGGTGTGAGGGGAAGAAGCCGCGTCCCCACCACTGCCTCGAGAAGAAGAAGCCGCGAACGGCGCGGTGCTGTGTGTGAGTGCCGTGTGGCGCGGAGCCGAGGTGGCCATTTCCCTCGTGTGTGGCAGGGCGAGACTCGTACGGCGGGGCTGCGTTCAAATAGATGCGAGTGCGAACGATTACTTGCCTTCCAAGAATGAAAAGAGAAAGTGCAGGTGGCATGCTTTGTGGAACGAGGCTTTCAGAAGGGAAGAGGAGGAGGATGGTGCAAGTCTGTCGCTTCTCCTCGTTCCACTTGGGAAAGCCGCACCTTTCACGCCTCGTCGTCACGAACCACTGTGCTGCTCAGCTGCACAGTGCGCCAGCCTGCGATTGAGTCGTCACAGCATCAACTCGGTGCACAGTGCAGCACGCGATGCAGCCTTGGCTCCATGTGCACGTATCCACGCGCCCTTCACCTCCATCTCAAAACTGTCATCTGTCGCATTCCCTGACAACTCATCCTCCTCCCCCTTCCCCGCCCCTTTCCCCTACCCCCTCGCCTCCCCGTTCCCTTCCCTCCCCCCGCCCTCTCGCCGCTTTCCTCTGCGGCACGCGCGCAGGTACGAGGAGCTGGCGAGCCGGGTGGACGAGGCGCTGGGGTTCATGGCGGCGTGCGGGCTGACGGCGGAGCACCCCATCATGCGCTCCACCGACTTCTTCACCAGCCACGAGTGCCTGCTGCTGCCCTACGAGCAGGCGCTCACCCGCATCGACTCCACCACCGGCCGCTGGTCAGTTTCCGACTCAACCCATCCCCTCGCCACCCGCCGCCTGCCCCCTCCTCAATTGCCGTCTGCCCCCTCCTCAATTGCCTCGCACCCCCTCCTCACTTGCCGCCCGCCCCTTCCTCACTTGCAGCCCGCCCCTTCCTCACTTGCCGCCCGCCCCCTTCTCTCTTGCCACCCCCCCGCTCCTCACTTGGCCTCTTGTTTCCCGCCGCGCCTCCTCATGCCGCCCTGCCCGAGAACCCCGGAACCTCCTAGTATGAAGGCATGTGAGGTGCGAGGATGCTACCCGTGGTCCCAGTGCAACTGCTGCCTTGTGACAGCCGCTGATTGGATTGGCATGGGCGGAGCACTGGTGCGCACTGCATGGCCCCAAGTCCAATTGCTCTCACTCGCCCCCTCCCCTCCTTTGCCTGTCGCTCGTCATTTGACCTGTTTGAATTCCACCCCTTTCCTCCTGCCACGGCCTAGGTGAACGTCATACTGGGTGGTTGAGAGAACTCGCCACAGGCACCTCAACGCTTAGCTCCCGTCACCCCTTCCTGAACCGCTCTCCCTCGCTCACCCCATTTCTCAATCCTCCCCGCACTTCCCCTGCTACCCCCCGTCTCGCCACCATCACCCCACCCCACGGCACGGCACCAGGTACGACTGCTCGGCGCACTTCATCTGGGTGGGCGAGCGCACGCGACAGCTGGACGGCGCCCACATTGAGTTCCTCCGCGGCGTTGCCAACCCCCTCGGCATCAAGGTGCGCGCCCTGCCATGCACTGCCATGCACGGCCACGCACTTGGGCGACACATGGGTGCTCAATCTGATGGTCTTCGCTTCATGCCACGCCAAGCAGCAGCAGCAGCGGCAGTTCGAGTTTGCAGTTTGGCGTGTGTTGGGGGTGGGGGTTGTCTGGCTCCTGCAGTTGTGTAACAGAGTGTTGAGCGTGCTGTGGTGCCGTCAGTGGAGTGCCAGTAGTGGGGCGCACCCTCTACGAACCACTCCGTCCAACGCATCCTCTCTCCCATCCCCCCTCTCCCCTCTCCAACCCCAACCACTCATCCTGTCAATCTGTCGCTTATCCTCTCTGCGCCTTGCTCTGTCCCTGGAGCAGGGAAATGCCCCCATGAGACCTGGTGGAGGTGTGTGGTATCCGCAACACCGACAACCACATGTTGAGTCAACTTAAAACTCGGCCCCTATCCATGCTGCATCCCTGTGTGTGTGTGTGTGTGTGTGTGTGTGTGTGTGTGTGTGTGTGTGTGTGTGTGTGTGTGTGTGTGTGTGTGTGTGTGTGTGTGTTGAGCAGGTGAGTGACAAGATGCCCCCGCAGGACCTGGTGGAGGTGTGTCACATCCTCAACCCCGACAACCGCCCCGGCCGCCTGACAGTGATCGTGCGCATGGGCGCGGAGAAGCTGCGCGAGAAGCTGCCGGCGCTGGTGCAGGCGGTGGAGCGCGAGGGGCTGGTGGTGACGTGGGTGTCCGACCCCATGCACGGCAACACCATCAAAGCGCCCAACGGCTACAAGACCCGCGACTTCAACTCCATCCGGGTGAGCCAAGGGGTTGTGCGCGTGTGCTTGAATGTGCGAGCATGCTGACGTGTGAATGTGCAGTTGTATCATTGCTTGTGTGTGGTTTTCTGGGAGGCTGATTGCCTTGGCCAATGGTCAGACAATCTTGGCAGGGCACCACAACAACAACACTCTCGGTTTACCCGGGGGCCTGGCTTACTTTCATTCACTAACTCCATTTCCCTGACCATAATCTTGTCACCCCCCTCAGGCGGAGCTGCGAGCCTTCTTTGACGTGCATGAGGAGCTGGGAACGCACCCAGGGGGGGTGCACCTGGAGATGACGGGGCAGAATGTCACCGAGTGTGTGGGCGGCACCAAGGAGGTGACCTTTGACGACCTGTCGTCGCGCTACCACACGCACTGCGACCCGCGCCTCAACGCCTCTCAGAGCCTCGAGCTCGCCTTCCTCATCGCCGACCGCCTCCGCCGAGGCCGCGGCAAGCCCTCGCTCTGGCTGCAGGGGTGATGCAGTGGGGCGCTTGCTCTTGGTGGTTGTGTGGGGAGGGGTGTGTAGGGTGAAGTGACGTGACTATGTTAGATTGGGGTGCCATAAGATTGCAAGGGGAATAGAGTCCCTGTAGTGTTTGTTGAATTGCTGGCGGATGTGATTGTGTACACTGAGGTAATGCTCCCTCTTACAAGGAATGAATGGACATATAGTAGTTAAAACACTGTTGCCCCAAGTAAAGTGCATCTTGCCATGGTAGCCACTTAAAAAGCCCGTAAAGCTTCTTTGTCATACATATTCCCCTTCACAACACTGACCAAGCATCTAATATAAATAAATATACAAGCAGACGACCACTCGAATGCTCCAGGCGACTCTCGAGGCACGAGAGGTGCCTGCCCGCCCAGGCAAGCGATGCTCTTAGTCGACTCAACATGAGAGGTGCTTGCTTGAAGCAGCCCTAGAAGCCAAGAAGCTGCTGCGACTTGCGCATGAGGAAGGGCAGCGTGGAGGGGTGGAACTTGCGCGCAAAGAGGAAGCAGTTGCGCGGCTCCCCCGCCAGCACACAGTGCCCGTTGGCCACCGCCTGATGGCATGGGATGGCATGGCATGGGATGGGAGAGCCACTCACGGGTGGATGAGGAGTGGGAGAGGCGAGTCTTGAGTCGACTCATGGGCCACCTGGGAGAGTGATTCACTTGTGGAAGAGGAGAGGAAGAGGCGAGGGGCGACTAGCATGCAGCGTGTGGTGTGGGTGGCGGAGGACTCACCAGAGGAGGCTGCGGTGCAGAGGGGTCGATTATCTGCGCAAATGGGTAGCGCAGCGCACATAAGAGGGAGAGGGGCCGGGTGGATGAGTGATGAGAGGCAGTGTGGATGGAGTGATGAGAGGCAGTCGGACACAGGGGGGGGGTGGTGGATGGAGTGATGAGAGGCAGTCGGACACAGGGGGGGGTGTGGTGGATGGAGTGATGAGAGGCAGTCGGACACAGGGGGGGGTGTGGTGGATGGAGTGGTGAAGCGTGGCGCATGGCAGGAAGCGGGTGAGTGGAGAGGCAGATGTGCGGTCGGAAGGAAGGACGGCGATGGGAGTAGATACAGTGTGGATTGAGTTGAAATAGATGCGTGTCGGGTGCACCCAAACATTGGTGTGCGCACATGCGTGATGCTAACAAGACATGCGTGATGCTAACAAGACATGCGTGATGCTAACAAGACATGCGTGATGCTAACAAGACATGCGTGATGCTAACAAGACATGCGTGATGCTAACAAGACATGCGTGATGCTAACAAGACATGCGTGATGCTAACAAGACATGCGTGATGCTAACAAGACATGCGTGATGCTAACAAGACATGCGTGATGCTAACAAGACATGCGTGATGCTAACAAGACATGCGTGATGCTAACAAGACATGCGTGATGCTAACAAGACATGCGTGATGCTAACAAGACATGCATGATGGTAACAAGACATGCGTGATGGTAACAAGACATGCGTGATGGTAACAAGACATGCGTGATGCTAACAAGACATGCGTGATGCTAACAAGACATGCGTGATGCTAACAAGACATGCGTGATGCTAACAAGACATGCGTGATGCTAACAAGACATGCGTGATGCTAACAAGACATGCGTGATGCTAACAAGACATGCGTGATGCTAACAAGACATGCGTGATGCTAACAAGACATGCGTGATGCTAACAAGACATGCGTGATGCTAACAAGACATGCGTGATGCTAACAAGACATGCGTGATGCTAACAAGACATGCGTGATGCTAACAAGACATGCGTGATGCTAACAAGACATGCGTGATGCTAACAAGACATGCGTGATGCTAACAAGACATGCGTGATGCTAACAAGACATGCGTGATGCTAACAAGACATGCGTGATGCTAACAAGACATGCGTGATGCTAACAAGACATGCGTGATGCTAACAAGACATGCGTGATGCTAACAAGACATGCGTGATGCTAACAAGACATGCGTGATGCTAACAAGACATGCGTGATGCTAACAAGACATGCGTGATGCTAACAAGACATGCGTGATGCTAACAAGACATGCGTGATGCTAACAAGACATGCGTGATGCTAACAAGACATGCGTGATGCTAACAAGACATGCGTGATGCTAACAAGACATGCGTGATGCTAACAAGACATGCGTGATGCTAACAAGACATGCGTGATGCTAACAAGACATGCGTGATGCTAACAAGACATGCGTGATGCTAACAAGACATGCGTGATGCTAACAAGACATGCGTGATGCTAACAAGACACGCATGATGCTAACAAGACACGCGTGATGCTAACAAGACATGCATGATGCTAACAAGACATGCGTGATGCTAACAAGACATGCGTGATGCTAACAAGACATGCGTGATGCTAACAAGACATGCGTGATGCTAACAAGACATGCGTGATGCTAACAAGACATGCGTGATGCTAACAAGACATGCGTGATGCTAACAAGACATGCGTGATGCTAACAAGACATGCGTGATGCTAACAAGACATGCGTGATGCTAACAAGACATGCGTGATGCTAACAAGACATGCGTGATGCTAACAAGACATGCGTGATGCTAACAAGACATGCGTGATGCTAACAAGACATGCGTGATGCTAACAAGACATGCGTGATGCTAACAAGACATGCGTGATGCTAACAAGACATGCATGTGGGTAGCGTACCCACATTATGCTGGCATGCCTGTGCAATCAGTTGAATGCCTATACAAAGGAAGTGCACGCACATACAAACAAAGGGAGTGCACGCACGCACATACAAGCAAAGTGCACACACATACAGCCCAAGTGCACACACATACAGCCATAGTGCACACACATACAGCCAAAGAGCACACACATGCATACAGCCAAAGAGCACACACATGGGAATAGTTGGACTGGAAGTCTTGCCAGAAGGAGCGGTAGGTGATAAACTGCCTTGCCGTCTGCCACGGGCGTGCCGGGGAGAGGAGGCAGGGCATGGACAGGGGAAATAGCAGGTTCAGGGAACTGAAAACAAAACCCGGGGAGGTACGAGCGATGTCAGAGCAGATGACAAGCGAGGCGAAGCATTTACTGCTGGCTGAGAGAGAAGGGGTGAACTCGTAGGCAGCAGAGAGCAGAGCAGGGAGTGAGGGACCTTGATGGTGGTGATGAGTTGGTCGGTCATGTTGGCGCCCAGGTACAGCGACGGGTGCCAATCGTTGGCACTCCAGTCCGTGAACGTCGTGGGGTAGCGTGATATGCCCCGTGGGTCCGTCATCTGTGCAGCAGCATGTGCGGGTGGGGATAGCAGGGGGAGCGAGACAAGGGGGCCATTGTAGAGGCGGCATGGTGGGGCGTGGCAGGGGGGAGCATTGCGGGGGGAGCATTGCGGGGGGAGCATTGCGGGGGGGGCATTGCGGGGGGGAGCATTGCGGGGGGAGCATTGCGGGGGGAGCATTGCGGGGGGGGCATTGCGGGGGGAGCATTGCGGGGGGAGCATTGCGGGGGGAGCATTGCGGGGGGAGCATTGCGGGGGGAGCATTGCGGGGGGAGCATTGCGGGGGGAGCATTGCGGGGGGAGCATTGCGGGGGGAGCATTGCGGGGGGAGCATTGCGGGGGGAGCATTGCGGGGGGAGCATTGCGGGGGGAGCATTGCGGGGGGAGCATTGCGGGGGGAGCATTGCGGGGGGAGCATTGCGGGGGGAGCATTGCAGGGGGAGCATTGCGGGGGGAGCATTGCGGGGGGAGCATTGCGGGGGGGGCATTGCGGGGGGGGCATAGCAGTGAGATGGGCATGAGGGGGTATTTGAGAAAAGAGATTGGCCAGCGGTAGGGCGTGCACAGGGATGGTGGGAGCGATTAGAGTGAGAGAGGTGAGGGAGGCATGAGGGAGGCGCGAGAGAGGCGTGAGTGACTTACATGCAAGAAGGTTTGAATGTAGTGCTCATCCGCACAGCACAGCTTGCCCCACTGCAACCGAAACTGCACACGAACACGGATGGGCCATGGAACATGGGAGTTGGGATGGACATCGGGCATGGGGCAAGGGGCAAGGGGCAAGGGGCAAGGGGCAAGGGGCAAGGGGCAAGGGGCAAGGGGCAAGGGGCAAGGGGCAAGGGGCAAGGGGCAAGGGGCAAGGGGCAAGGGGCAAGGGGCAAGGGGCAAGGGGCAAGGGGCAAGGGGCAAGGGGCAAGGGGCAAGGGGCAAGGGGCAAGGGGCAAGGGGCAAGGGGCAAGGGGCAAGGGGCAAGGGGCAAGGGGCAAGGGGCAAGGGACATGGGGCGCTCTAGAAGCATGTGGGACAAGGGACAGCAAAACGAGGATGCAGGTAGGGGGATGAATCCGACATGGCATGGCACATACAGGCTCGGGGGACATGAGATGAAATCGACACGGCAAGTGGTGGCAAGATCTAGAATAGCAGCACGACGGAGCAGGTTGTTGGGCAGAGGAGCAGAGGGCAGTGGAGCAGAGGGCAGTGGAGCAGAGGGCAGTGGAGCAGAGGGCAGTGGAGCAGAGGGCAGTGGAGCAGAGGGCAGAGGAGCAGAGGGCAGAGGAGCAGAGGGCAGTGGAGCAGAGGGCAGTGGAGCAGAGGGCAGAGGAGCAGAGGGCAGTGGAGCAGAGGGCAGTGGAGCAGAGGGCAGTGGAGCAGAGGGCAGTGGAGCAGAGGGCAGTGGAGCAGAGGGCAGTGGAGCAGAGGGCAGTGGAGCAGAGGGCAGTGGAGCAGAGGGCAGTGGAGCAGAGGGCAGTGGAGCAGAGGGCAGTGGAGCAGAGGGCAGTGGAGCAGAGGGCAGTGGAGCAGAGGGCAGAGGAGCAGAGGGCAGTGGAGCAGAGGGCAGTGGAGCAGAGGGCAGTGGAGCAGAGGGCAGTGGAGCAGAGGGCAGTGGAGCAGAGGGCAGTGGAGCAGAGGGCAGAGGAGCAGAGGGCAGAGGAGCAGAGGGCAGAGGAGCAGAGGGCAGAGGAGCAGAGGGCAGAGGAGCAGAGGGCAGAGGAGCAGAGGCGAAGGGGGGCAGGGAGAGGTGGGCGGGGGGGACTGACGGCGCAGCTGAGGTTGTGCTTGGTGTAGTGCAGCGTGTCCCTCACCACCGCCTCCGCATGCCGCCGCTGCAGGATGAACCACTGTTGCCAATGCGGTGTGATGCGGTGTGATGTGACGGGATGGGATGGGATGTGATAAAATGTGATGGGATGGGATGGGATGGGATGGGATGGGATGGGATGGGATGGGATGGGATGGGATGGGATGGGATGGGATGGGATGGGATGGGATGGGATGGGATGGGATGGGATGGGATGGGATGGGATGGGATGGGATGGGATGGGATGGGATGGGATGGGATGGGATGGGATGAGATGGGATGTGCGTTGGGTGATGTGCGTCCAAGACGTGCCATGCATGCGCTAGTTGATGCGAATGAAATGAGAGTGTCAAAGATGTGCACGTGATGTGCAAGGCATGGCAATCACAGCAGCACACACGGCTTCTGAAATGTCATAACATTGAAGACATGGTGCAGATATACACAAGAACAGCAACAACAGAATGCATGCGCGTGCACTGTGTCTCAAACGAAAACCGGTACACTAAATACATGTAGAACGAGCGAGACAACATGCATTGTATCGACGAGCCTGGTTTCAGTGGCACCCACCTGGTTGCCTGTGAGCCGCACCGCGCTGCACCCACCTGGTTGCCTTTGAGGAACTGGTGGCGGCGGATGACGGGCATGAAGATGTGCGGGATGTACCGCCCGAACGACATGCTGTAGGGGTCCGAGTATCTGTCAAGGGGAGAAAGGGTAAGGGAGGTTGGGAGTAGAAGGGAGAAGTTTTGCATGTTGAAGCACATCAGGCAGTGTGTTGGGCAGTGTGTGGTGCAGTGCGTGGGGCAGAGCGTGGGGCAGAGCGTGGGGCAGAGCACAGGTGGTGAATCCGGATGAGTGAGGCGGTGCAGCGGGTGGCGTGATGCGTCATGCTTGTGCCTTTCAGAAACGAGTGCCATTCTAACTCCAACATACCTTCACTTCACCTCCCACCACAGTGGCATGCACATTCCATTACACCAGGGTATGCACATGCATGTGCCGTCGAACAGTGAGAGAGAAACGAAGCTGCACTAACGTGGCGTGGCGTCGGGGGTGGGGGGTGTGGGGAAGTGGGGAGGGGAGCGGCACTGACGCGTCAACGAAGCTGGCGGAGGAGGAGGCGATGTAGCTGTACACATAGTCGAACGGCCACAACGGTATGCAGCTGTTGCCCGCTCGCCCAGGTGCATGATATGGGGGGGAAGGGGCGTGGAGGAAGAGCATGGGGGGGAAATGGGCATTGTTGAGATATTGTATGCGGGGGGGCGTGGGGAAGAAGGTCACCGTGGAATGCAGCTTATGCCACCCAAGGGCATGAATGAGGGTAGGAGGGGAAGGGCATGAGCGGAAAACGGCATGGGGGAAAGTTTCATGGATAAGACGGGGGCATTAGGGGCAGCTATCAGGGATTTGGGGCGGCAAGAGAGGGCCCTGTTGAGTGAAGCAGAATGGTGAGCACCACCTCTCACTGAGCAGCACAAAGAAGCTGTTGGCCTCGTCCTGCACGGCCGCCTCCAGCAGGCGCCTCTCCGCATCCACCATTGACATCTCGCCCCACCGCACCTGCCGCGTGACATGGGTGATGAGAGGCACATGGCGTGAGGAACAGTGGCGGTTGGTGGCCCGCACAGGGCCAAAGGGGGGGGGGGACAACGGAGCACATGGCTGTGCCGCGCGCATGAGAGTGCACAAGGGAGGCACGCAGGCAGAGGCAGCAGAAGACAGGTACGTGACGTCTGATTGTCACCTTCGCACACGCCCATCATCCCACACGCCCATCATCCCACACGCCCATCATCATCCCACACGCCTATCATCATCCCCACGCCCATCATCATCCCACACGCCCATCATCATCCCACACGCCCATCATCATCCCACCACACGAGGCTCACCTCTCCACCCGGCACGAGGCGGCCGCGGAAGAGGGGCGAGGAGCCGGGCGGGAAGGAGAAGGAGGTGTTGGACGCGTGCACGTATATGGCATAGCGCCCCTCGTGGCCCTGGGAGATGGGGGAGAGGGGTCGGGGACGAGGAGTGGCGGGAGGGGGGTAAAGAGGGCGTGAGGAAGAGTGGGGAGAATGGGGGAAGAAGGGAGAAGCGAAGAGTGGAAGAGGGGGAGAGGAGGAGGAGGGGAGGAGAAGAGGGAGGGGAGGAGGAGAAGAGGGAGGGGTGAGTTGGTGGCGGAGGGGAGAGGAGGGTGTAAAGGAGTCGGGTGGGGGGAGGAGGGAAGAGGGTTTGACATGGGGCAGCAGCGGACGATCTGCATGTGAGTGGCACAACAGGACATGCGTCCATGAATCGCGAACAGCCCCCCAAGAAAAAAAAGCTTGCATATGTAGGGTACCGCTCATGCGACCAACATGCCACTATTTGCGCCGTGCATGGTGCATGGTGGCGCATGTGGCATGGGGCTAGGGGCATGGCGCATGGCGCATGGCGCATGTGGCATGGGGCTAGGGGCATGGCGCATGGCGCATGTGTGGGACAAGTGGGCCACGTGAGGGAGGCACGAACGGGGAGGCACGAGGGGGGAGGCACGAGGGGGGAGGCACGAGGGGGGAGGCACGAGGGGGGAGGCACGAGGGGGGAGGCACGAGGGGGGAGGCACGAGGGGGAAGGCACGAGGGGGGAGGAACGAGGGGGGAGGCACGAAGAGGAGGAGGCACGAAGAGGGGGGGCAGGGGGGAGGCGCAAGAGGGAGGGGCGCACCCGAAGGAATTTTTCCCAGAGCGGGGCGAGGGGGATGGGTCCGCGCGTGAGGAAGAGCAGCGCGAGGCTGCCGCGGTGCTCCCGCAGCTGCGACCACACGCCGCCCACCTGCGCCGCCCCCGCCTGCTCCACCTGCTCCGCCTCCTCCACGCTTATATCAAACGGCGACAAAAACGGGGACAGCACGGAGATAATGAAAGGGAGCTGCGAGAGGAGCAGCAGCGACGCGGCGAAGACGACGATGAGCGACACGAACACGCGCTGCACGTGGCGCGACGGCGATGATTTGGAATCACCGCCGGCACTCTGCTGCGCGAGAGGCGCAAGGGGCGACGCGCCATGGGGCGGGCCGCAAGGCGGCGGTGTGGCGTCAGCGGCGGCGTGCGCGGGAAAGGGGCTGGGCGCGGGAGCAAGGTGGCGTGTTGGCGGCGGTGGTTCGTGTGAGGGCACGTGCGCGGGCGATAGGGGGGTCGATAGAGCGAGGATGGATGGCGACACGACACTGACGGAGGAGGGCGGTATTTGTGTGCCTCGTTGCGCGGGGCTAGCGGAGGCCGCGACGTGGCGAGCGCTGCTCGCCGCCCTCCTCTCCGCTTTCAGCAGCCGCTCCGCTTCCCGCTCATGCATCGCTGGTGCGGAGAAGTCTCTATCGCTACTAATCGCGCGATCGGACCACAGATGCGTGCTCGTGGTTCTAGCGATACATGTTGGTGGCGGTGGAGTCACCTAATCGCGAAACATAATCATTTTAACACATGCTCGCTACAGGTAAAAAGACTCTACAAACGACGTCGTACTCGTGATTATACGCCGTCGCGAGTCGTCCTACACCGTACCAGCCACTACTTGAGAAGCACGTTAGTCGGTGACACAAATTGACGAGCTGTTGTGTGTCTGATCCGAGCGTGTCTCACAGGAAGCTGGAGTGGTTCTTCTGGTTCGCGTTTCTGCAGGAGGGCAGAGCGGTTGCACCCGAACCTCACAGATTCATTTCTGCGAGCTGCCACGGATGTGGTTGGTGGCGAGGGCAGGCTCGGCAGAAGTTTTGGGTGGCTGAAGAAAGCTGGTGTTTCAATGTGTGATGCAACCCGATGAATTCTCAGGGCGCGTGTGATAATTTTCTATGTTCAGAAATCAGATCGAAGTCGGCATGGTTCCTACTGTCATGAATGTCGCAACAAGTGTCTGGCGAAAGTTTCAAGTCTGAACACTTAAGTGCGACATGAATAAATGAACTCGACTCGACTCATTAGATGAACATGCGCTCGCACATTGAATCGAACGTGTACACTTTTGAGCATGCCTGTTGGTTTGACGAAATCACCCAGACGTACGAAAACGAAGTCCCCCTGCCGGAACCGCGGAAAGAGTCGCCACCAGGCCTGTCGATTCAAGGGCATATGCCCTTAAAGCCCGAGTCTATAATGGCAAACGTTCAACTTCATGATTCTTGAACTTGTTTTCGTCAAGAACAGGGTAACCAGGTTCAGAAAGCTGAGCTCTCGCTACCCACCAGGAAGGGAGTTGGTGGGCCAGAAGGTGATTGGCCAAATGCCCCACAGCAAAAACACGGACGAGCCTCGCCAGAAACAAACAAAGGCAAGTATCACTGTTCACACTTTCAGAACTTGAAACTCGACATTACCTTTCTAGACTCGTAGCATAGAAGGCTCCATAGCCCATATTCTCGTCAATAGTCAGCATAGTTGCGCCCATCTGCTTGCCGTATGCTAAGACTTTTGTAGCACATAAAGACGAAACTTCCCGGCGACTTTTTCGCGCATAACACATCCGATCTCGTACATTGCTTGGAAGGCATGACCCTCAGATTGATCGCCACCGTGAGACTTACTCGTCGCCGCTGAAGGGTAACCTAGCCCGCACTCAATGCCGGTCCGCAATCACTCAAGGCCCGCCCTCACTCCCGTCGTCGTCACTCCCGTCGTTCTCTCTCTCCCGTCAAACTCTCTTTCCCATCGCGCTCTCCCTCCCGTCGCGCCCTCACTCCCGTCGCTCTCTCGCTCCCGTCGCGCTCATTCTACCGTCGCTCTCTCACTTGTCGCTCACACGTGACTCACTAACACATGTCGCTCATATCTGCTCCTCTTACCCTCTTCCCCCTTTGCGCTCCCCCCGGTTCCTCCTCTGCCCATCTTCCCCGTCACTCACACACGACACACACGACATGCTCACACATGTTCCCATCTCCCCTCTCCTCCCTTCCCTCTCCGCTCCTCTCCTCACTTCCCTCTCTGTCCCCCTCCTTCCCTTCTCTGTCTTCGCCTCGCCTCCCTTCCCACTCATCCCCTCCCCTTCCTTTCCTTCTCGTCGTCTTTCCTTCCTTCCATCTGTCCATTCTCCGGGAAGAATTGGGAGGGGGACTGAAGAGCCTTCTCTTCCCTCCTGCCTCACTCACTCCCGCCTGTTGCCTACATCAATCCTGTTCATCATTCCAGTCACTTGCTTTCCTCACTGTCCCACTCCTCCCTTCCCTCTCCCCCACCCCCTCCCTCTCCCGCCGCTTCCGTCTACCACTAATGCAACTGGCGTACCCCATGTCTCTCCCTCCCGTTGCCACATGCGACATTCTTCCTACGCCATGCCCCTATACCATACACCATACCTCATGGCTCATACTCTCTTTGCCTCTTCTCCTCTTCCAATCAATCTCCCTTACTTTGGTTCACCTTTCTTCCTCCCCCGTTCTACCTCGCTCCATTCCTGCCATACCTCCCTCTCTCCGCAGCTCCCGCCCCTCCGATTTCGCCCCTGGTTTGCCCCTCCGTTGCCTTTCTCCCCTTCATCCCTCTTGCTCTCTTCCGACCCTCTGTTGCCCTGTGACCCATGCCCCATGCCTCACACCTCATGACCCATACCCCATATCCTAACTCCCTGCCACTGTGCCCTTCATGGTCAGGTAGGGTTCCCGCCTGCGGCAGCAGCAGCCAACCTCACAGAGGAAGTGGTGGTTCGCTTTGACTGCCTTTCCAACGCTCGAGAGCTCTCACACCCACGACCAGAGGCACACCACACACCTCTGACCCTAAGGTAGTGGCCTCCAACAGTGGGGGTTGCCATAGTGAATGCTGTAGGGGGGAGGTCAAAGTTCCCATCACTCAGGTGCCCATCGAAGCTGCATCGCATAGTCTCTTTCGTTTGCCTTCTCTTCCTTCATTGTGCTTCTCTGCATTGGTCTCACGTCACACTCTTCTACCATCTTTCCACCACCCATTCCACCATACCCACCCTTGCACCCATCCCTCACCCTTCCACTCTGTGCCTTACTTACTCCTTTGCTGTTTCCATCCTTTGTTCACTTTCCCTTTGCTCTCCCTGTCATCTTAGGGACCCTGTCCCTTGCTCACTCATACGTTTGCTGTTTCTGTCCTTTGCCCCATTGTCCCCTGCTCACCTTTCAATCTCTGCCCATGCCACCCGTTGACTGTCTACCACTCTCCTGGTTTCCCTCTCTGCCTCTCTGTTGCATTCCTTGTTGTCGTTCCCCTCCCATTTTGTCCTCTGCACGCGATGTCGCCTTTCACCGTATGCTTCCCTGCTGCTCAGCCATCTCACATCTTATTTCCTGATTTGTGTTTGTACAGGTCCGTTATACATCAGTGCTAGTGCTGTGGTGATGTGTTGGCTGGCAGTTTGATAGTACTATAATGACTCGCCATTCAATGTTTTGATCTTGGATGCTTTGTTATAATACAAACTCTGAGTTGAGGAGCAGCTATGCACATGACCACTACCAAAAAGTGCAACAAAGTTCACAGTTGATCATCCACACGAAGACAGCTACGAAATCTACTGTATTTCCCCATTCTTGTTTGCTACATTGCATGCAACCTTGGCCTGTGGTGCTGGGAGCCTGGGACCTGTACTCTGCATGGTTGGAGACGGGGATGAGTGAGAGTGGGAACAGACTGAGCAGCGGAAGAGAGTGAACAGGAAGAAACAGGGCGAGCAGGCAGGAAGAGAGAGAGCAGAGAGGAACAGAGCGAGTCGGATGGGAGGGCGATGGGAGGGGGATGGGAGGGCGATGGGAGGGGGATGGGAGGGCGATGGGAGGGGGATGGGAGGGGGAAGCGAGGGTGGCGGGAGGGGGATGGGAGGGTGATGGGAGGGGGATGGCCAGGGGATGGGAGGGGGATGGGAGGGGGATGAGAGGGGGAGGTCGGTAGGGGGACGGGAGGGGGATGGGAGGGGGACGGGAGGGGGATTGGAGGGCGATGGGAGGGGGATGGGAGGAAGATGGGAGGGGGATGGGAGGGGGATGGGAGGGGGATGGCCAGGGGATGGGAGGGGGATGGGAGGGGGATGGGAGGGGGATGGGAGGGGGATGGGAGGGGGGTGGGAGGGAAGTGGGAGGGGGATGGAAGGGGGATAGGAGGGGGATGGGAGGGGGATGGGAGGGGGATGGGAGGGGGATGGGAGGGGGATGGGAGGGGGATGGGAGGGGGATGGAAGGGGGGTGGCAGGGGGATGGGAGGGGAATGGGAGGGCGATGGGAGGGGGACGGGAGGGGGATGGGAGGGGGATGGCCAGGGGATGGGAGGGGGATGGGAGGGGGATGGGAGGGGGATGGGAGGGGGAAGGGAGGGGGATGGGAGGGGGATGGCCAGGGGATGGGAGGGGGATGGGAGGGGGATGGGAGGGCGATGGGAGGGGGACGGGAGGGGGATGGGAGGGGGATGGGAGGGGGATGGGGGGGGGATGGGAGGGGGATGGGAGGGGGATGGGAGGGGGATGGGAGGGGGATGGGAGGGGGATGGGAGGGGGATGGGAGGGGGAAGGGAGGGGGATGGGAGGGGGATGGGAGGGGGATGGGAGGGGGATGGGAGGGGGATGGGAGGGGGAAGGGAGGGGGATGGGAGGGGGATGGCCAGGGGATGGGAGGGGGATGGGAGGGGGCTGCTGCAGCTGAAGTGGTGGCTGGGATACCGCCTCAACAAGAGCACTCCAGGTCTGCATGGGCTAAGGAAATGGCACGATAGTTGACATATGACAGGGGGGCGACAACGGGGAGGAAGTGAACAAGGGTGTGTGCAATGAGCTGTTTGCAAAGAAGTGGTGATATGGGGGGTTGGTGACTTACCGACTTACCCCCCCACACACTCACCTCATCCACAATCACTGAGGGGAGGTCGGCCTCTTCTCAGCCCCTTAGAGAATCCAGCCCAGTGGGGGGAGTTCAACCCCCCCACACACTCACCTCATCCTCAATCACTGAGGGGAGGTCGGCCTCCCCTCAGCCCCTTAGAGAATCCAGCCCAGTGGGGGGAGTTCAATCCCCCCACACACTCACCTCATCCACAATCACTGAGGGGAGGTCGGCCTCCCCTCAGCCCCTTAGAGAATCCAGCCCAGTGGGGGGAGTTCAACCCCCCCACACACTCACCTCATCCTCAATCACTGAGGGGAGGTCGGCCTCCCCTCAGCCCCTTAGAGAATCCAGCCCAGTGGGGGGAGTTCAACCCCCCCACACACTCACCTCATCCACAATCACTGAGGGGAGGTCGGCCTCCCCTCAGCCCCTTAGAGAATCCCACCCAGTGGGGGGAGTTCAACCCCCCCACACACTCACCTCATCCACAATCACAGAGAGGGGGTAGCCTCACCCAAGCCTCTTATCCCATCCAGCCTAGTGGGGGACCCCCCCACACACTCACCTTGGAAACAATCACTGAGGGGAGGTCGGCCTCCCTTAGCCTCCTCTCAAGTCCAGCCCAGTGGGGGAAGTTCAAACCCCCCACACACTCACCTCATACACAATCACTGAGGGGAGGTCGGCCTCCCCTCAGTCTAATACCCCCTAACTTATCGTTGCTCGGCTCCTCTCTGCTCATTCCCCGTCCCGTACATTGCTTCTCACCGGGTGGTTTAGAGTACGGGCGGCACTGAGCAGATTGTCGTTCCCGTCTAGTTAGAAGACGCGCCTTGCTGTCCGCGCCTTGTTTTTCGCCGCCTTGCTGTCCGCGCCTTGCTGTCCGCGCCTTGCTGATGGCGCCTGCCCGTCAACGCCTTCCCGTCCGCGTCTTCCCTGTGCGCGCCTTCCGTCCGCGCCGTTGTGGCTCTCGCCTTCCGCCCTATCCCTATGTAGTTGTGTCAGAATGTTATTTGTCTAGCCTGCAGTGGGGTGCTCAATAGTGAGTACAACCCCTTAGGGTTTGCTATTTGTGTGTTCTGCTGCTTGCTAGTCACCATTCATTCTTCGTTCCAATTCTCCTTCGTAAACCCTAACTCCTAGTTCTAGAGCACACCCACCTACCTCCTAGTGTGGGCCTAGGCTACTAAGCCTAGGCCCCACACCTACGATTCTAACATGGTATCTAGAGCCGGCGAGATCCTGCCGCCTAGTTCATCGGGCCCACCAACTCCTTCCGCTGTCGTACTATCCGCCGCGCGCCCCGTGGTGCGCGGCATTGCATTTTCTTCCCGCCACGCGCTCCGAACACGTGGCGGCTTCTTCTGCCCGCCGCGCGCTCGGGGCGCGCGGCGGTTATCCCGTCCGTCGAAGCGTCCTTGGGGGGGCCTGCGCGCTGCCCTCCCTGCTGCTCGTCGCGACGCCCGTGCGGGACCCGCGGGGCGTCGCCCTTACTCGTCGCGGCGCCCCCTGGGTGCTGCCCCTTCTCGTCGCGACGCCCGTACGGGACCCGCGCAGCGTCGCCCTGCTCGTCGCGACGTCCGTGCGGGACCCGCGGGGCGTCGCCCCTGCTCGTCGCGACGCCCGTGCGGGACCCGCGGGGCGTCGCCCCTGCTCGTCGCGACGCCCCCTGCGGGACCCGCGGGGCGCCGTCAGAGCCTGCAGCAGCAGCCGCCGCTCTACCAGCAGCAGCAGCCGCCGCCGCTCTGCAGCAGCAGCCGCCGCCGCCCTGCAGCAGCAGCCGCCGCCAGGCCTGCAGCAGCAGCCGCCGCCAGAGCCTGCAGCAGCAGCCGCCGCCAGAGCCTGCAGCAGCAGCTGCCACCAGAGCCTGCAGCAGCAGCCGCCGCTCTACCAGCAGCAGCAGCCGCCGCCGCTCTGCAGCAGCAGCCGCCGCCGCCCTGCAGCAGCAGCCGCCGCCAGGCCTGCAGCAGCAGCTGCCGCCACCGAGCCTGCAGCAGCAGCCGCCGCCAGAGCCTGCAGCAGCAGCCGCCGCCAGAGCCTACAGCAGCAGCCGCCGCTCTACCTGCAGCAGTTGCCGCTGCCGAGCCTGCAGCAGCAGCCCCTGGAGCAGCCAGTCACTGCAGCAACCGCCCCTGGAGCAGCCCGCCACTGCAGCAGCCGCCCCTGGAGTTTGCCCGCCTTTGTTCGAGAGTGTGGGGGTGACGGGTATGGGGGTGCTTCGTGTGCGTCGTCCCTTCCTCCTCCTTCGTCTCCCACTGCTGCAGCTGCCGCTGAGGGGGGTGGATGTGTGGGAGCCGAGGGGACTGGCGCTAGGGGGGGTGATATGGGAGTGGAGCTAAGGGTGGACCAAGGGGTGTGTGTCGAGGGGTGTGGGACTGTTGGGGGAGGTTGAGCGGAGACCGCCGTCGTGTCGTCTACAGCGCCTGTACTCCGGGGCGCTCAATCCCGGTAGCTCAGAGAGCCGGTTGCACCTGTCGCCCGTGGGTCCGTTGCTCCTGCCGCTGCTGTTCAGCCGCCGAGCCTGTTACTCCTGTATTCCGGGGCCTTTCTCCTCCCGGTAGCCACCAGCGTTGCACCAGAGCCGTCTGTTGCCCGTGTGTCTGCAGCTTCAGTCGTCGCCTCCACTCTTCTCTCATCTCGCCAGCCCTCCTCCTCCTCACTTGCCCTCTGTGACTGCCTCTAGCTCTGCTTACAATTTATAAACTATTGGTTCTTGAACTTGTGCTCAGAATGTGTGGTGACGTCGTGATCCACCCTGAGCTTGTACTGCTTTGTGTGCTCTGCTGATTACACCCCACTTTGGCTATGGGGGTGTGTCAGAATGTTATTTGTCTAGCCTGCAGTGGGGTGCTCAATAGTGAGTACAACCCCTTAGGGTTTGCTATTTGTGTGTTCTGCTGCTTGCTAGTCACCATTCATTCTTCGTTCCAATTCTCCTTCGTAAACCCTAACTCCTAGTTCTAGAGCACACCCACCTACCTCCTAGTGTGGGCCTAGGCTACTAAGCCTAGGCCCCACACCTACGATTCTAACAAGTTGCGCCTTCTATGGGCCGTCTCACACAGGCCGCGTATTCCTGTCCGAGTCTCTCCCTTCCGCAACTTTCGAGTGTGTTCGCTTTTTCTCGTGCAACGGTGTCCCGACCAGCGCAATCGTCACCGTGGTCGAGCTGCAGTTGCTAACGGGCAGGCTTTTCTTCTGACGTTCGGGGCCACATATCCATTCGCCACTCAAATGGTGTGGTTTCTACAGATAATTACGTGCAGTGTCGATTATCTTCGGAGAACAAGGACGCGACGTGACTGTTTTGTGACCACAACAACCGTTGAGTGTCGCCGCTATTCCCGTGTTGGTGGCCTGAAACGTTCTGTGCTGGAATGGACGTTCGCCACCTGAAAACGCCAAACGTGGGCAATAGCGTTACCCCGCTTATGTTGCCTAAACCTGATGACGGACGTGACGTTACGTGATCGTCCTTAGAATTCGTCTTAGTAGGTACAAACCGAATGCATGTGGTAGGTCATGCACGTCGAGTGCATTGCTGGTTGTTGAGCTGCGTATCAGTAGGCTCCTGCCATGTCCGCGATCATAGAAAGCTGGTGGTGTGACTTGCGTGGATGGTGGTTTGGTTTTGTTTGTCGCTTGTGTTTGTTCAAGTTTCCTGAACTAGGAACCCGTACAATGCGAAAAACTTCGAAGCACCCCACCTTCGCCACCTCTTTCCGGCGAATTGCGCTCTTGTCATCCTTCGCCCAACCCCCTTTCAAGTTCAGTAATCCTGAACCCTTGCCATTCTAGGCGCGGGTTTTAATGCCCTGAACATTAAAGCAGCAGTATACATTTGAAAGTACTGTTGATTTTGGAACAGTACCCACCAAAAGCAAACCCCAACGAAAACGAACAGGCTTGGCGAGAGGGTCGGCGAAAGTTTGGAAGGCTGTTAGTTGCGAACACGAGAAACTCTCCCGTCACCCAACACCTGGAGTGACACTCAGACACTAGGAAATGCCTTTCCACAGGCAATATATAAGGTGAGTAAGGGGGCCGAGGAGTAGCGGTACCACTAAGAAACTCGCTGTTGGTAAGGGGACACGTGTCACAAGCATTTCTACAACACCCTACTCTCTGATGACTAGACTCGTTCTAAGGCCACGCACGCGATGTAGGAATAGCCTTCGAAGAGGCGCGCCGCATTCCATGCACTCTCCTCGCTGGCGATATTCTCGCGAAACCTGCAGCTCGATCGCCGAACCCGCAGCTCACGACACCCTCTTAGCGCGTCACCCGCGACTCGTCTAATGCCACTCTGCGCGCCCCACCGCTTAGTGCCTAACCGCTAAGCGCCTCACAGCGAAAAGCGCACGATCGCTAAGCGAGCGCCTCACCGCATAGCGCCTCACCGCTCACGCACTGCGATTCCTCTCAAGTTTTAGTGCAGGCGAGTGCTTCTCGAACCCATAGCTCGCCTCTCTTAGCACGCTCACCCTCTGCTGGCCTCACCTGCTGCTCGCGTCTCTGGGCGAATGTCGAATTCGCCCAAAATGCTGCGCTCCGCGAGGCGTTCGCCTCACGCGCTGCTTGCTACCGTTGAATGGGCGCATCGCCATGAATGCGGGGAGCCCGTCGTCCAACCTCCTTCCCCGGACCTCTCATTTCCCCTCTCTGTTCCCTCATTTCCCCCCCTCCCTCTCTCTTTTCCCCCACTACTCCTACCCCTTGTTTCCCCCTCTGCTTACCCTCGTTCCCCCCTCTCTTTTCCCTTATTTCCCCCTCTCCTCTCCCTCGTTCCCCCCTCTCCATCCCATCATTTCCCCCTCTGCTTCCCCTCGTTCCCCCCCTCCATCCCCTGATTTCCCCCTCCTTTCCCCCACTGCTTCCCCTCCTTTCTCCCACTGCTTCCCCTCCTTTCCCCCACTGCTTCCCCTCCTTTCCCCCACTGCATCCCCTCCTTTCCCCCGCTGCTTCCCTCCTTTCCTCCGCTGCTTCCCCTCCTTTCCCCCACTGCTTCCCCTCCTTTCCCCCACTGCATCCCTCCCCCCCACTGCTTCCCCTCCTTTCCCCCACTGCTTCCCCTCCTTTCCCCCACTGCATCCCTCCTTTCCCCCACTGCTTCCCCTCCTTTCCCCCACTGCTTCCCCTCCTTTCCCCCACTGCATCCCTCCCCCCCACTGCTTCCCCTCCTTTCCCCCACTGCATCCCCTCCTTTCCCCCACTGCTTCCCCTCCTTTCCCCCCCGTGCTTCCCCTCCTTCCCCCCGTTTCCCTCACTGCCTCCGCTCCCGCTGCCCTTCTCTCACCTGTCCATCCCTTGCCTCCCCTTCGCATCCGTCTAAAGCTGTGAGCGAAATCAGACACAACTTTCCCTCACATCCCCTCTCCCTCCCCCCGTTTGTTACCCATCCCTCCCCCTGTTTGTTACCCATCCATCTCCCTTTCCTTCCCCTCGTTCCCCCCTCTCCTTCCCCTCGTTCCCCCTCGCCTTCCCCTCGTTCCCCCCTCTCCTTCCCCTCGTTCCCCCCTCTCCTTCCCCTCGTTCCCCCTCTCCTTCCCCTCGTTCCCCCCTCTCCTTCCCCTCGTTCCCCCCTCTCCTTCTCCTCGTTCCCCCCTCTCCTTCCCCTCGTCCCCCCCTCTCCTTCACCTCATTTCCCCCTCTGCTTCTCCTCGTTCCCCCCTCTCCTAGTCCTCATTACCCCCTCTCTGCTTCCCCTCGTTCCCCCCCCTCATCCTTGTTCACCCCACAACTTCCCCTCATTTCCTCTCATCACCTCCCCTGCTCCCTCTCACTACCTCCCCAGCTTCCAATCTTTTCTCCCTCTGCTTCCCCTCGTTTCTCCCTCTCTTTCCCTTCATTTCCGTCCCTGCTTCTCCTTTGCCTGCTTTCTCTTCGATTGCGTCTTGCCCACAGTTCCCCCCTTACCCTCCTTCCTCTGTTGTTTTCTATGCTACCGTATCACCCTCCTTTCTCTGAGTTTTTCACCCCTTCTTACGCTTTGTCTCCCCACCTGCTTGCCCTTGTTCGTCTCCACCCCTTACCCTCCCCCCAACCCGCTCTTTCTGCAAGCTTGTACTCTGTCCTCCGGATTTCCAGATCATCTTTACTCGATATCTTCTCTGTGCAGCATGGAGCACAGTGAAGTTGTAATATCAGTCTACAATGTGTGTGCCTCAATGTATCTAGCCATAACATGGTATTACAACTCGTGCCCAATTCTGAATAATGGTAGTGGAATCCAATGGTTGTCATGTGACCTCTGTTCTTTCAAATGGGCACAGCACAGCATTGATGTAGAGAAGAGAAGCTTGAGAGGAGTATGTACACATGATAAAATCATCGCAAAACATTGTACAAGACAGCACCTTCCACTACTCTTTGTGTCGCCTTCATTCCCCCCCAAACTCTTGGACCTGCTGCTCCTCCCTTCATGTCGCCAAAATTGCCCAGGCCTGGCTTTGCCCTGTGTGTAGCAGGATTGCATGCAAAACCTGCAGCTTTGCATATGCATACTGGCTGTATGACACATGGTGTCGCAACCGTAAATAGTGGGGCCCCGAACCTACGGGAGGGAAGGCAGGGACGTGAGGAGGGAAGGCAGGGACGTGAGGAGGGAAGGCAGGGACGTGAGGAGGGAAGGCAGGGACGTGAGGAGGGAAGGCAGGGACGTGAGGAGGGAAGGCAGGGACGTGAGGAGGGAAGGCAGGGACGTGAGGAGGGAAGGCAGGGACGTGAGGAGGGAAGGCAGGGACGTGAGGAGGGAAGGCAGGGACGTGAGGAGGGAAGGCAGGGACGTGAGGAGGGAAGGCAGGGACGTGAGGAGGGAAGGCAGGGACGTGAGGAGGGAAGGCAGGGACGTGAGGAGGGAAGGCAGGGACGTGAGGAGGGAAGGCAGGGACGTGAGGAGGGAAGGCAGGGACGTGAGGAGGGAAGGCAGGGACGTGAGGAGGGAAGGCAGGGACGTGAGGAGGGAAGGCAGGGACGTGAGGAGGGAAGGCAGGGACGTGAGGAGGGAAGGCAGGGACGTGAGGAGGGAAGGCAGGGACGTGAGGAGGGAAGGCAGGGACGTGAGGAGGGAAGGCAGGGACGTGAGGAGGGAAGGCAGGGACGTGAGGAGGGAAGGCAGGGACGTGAGGAGGGAAGGCAGGGACGTGAGGAGGGAAGGCAGGGACGTGAGGAGGGAAGGCAGGGACGTGAGGAGGGAAGGCAGGGACGTGAGGAGGGAAGGCAGGGACGTGAGGAGGGAAGGCAGGGACGTGAGGAGGGAAGGCAGGGACGTGAGGAGGGAAGGCAGGGACGTGAGGAGGGAAGGCAGGGACGTGAGGAGGGAAGGCAGGGACGTGAGGAGGGAAGGCAGGGACGTGAGGAGGGAAGGCAGGGACGTGAGGAGGGAAGGCAGGGACGTGAGGAGGGAAGGCAGGGACGTGAGGAGGGAAGGCAGGGACGTGAGGAGGGAAGGCAGGGACGTGAGGAGGGAAGGCAGGGACGTGAGGAGGGAAGGCAGGGACGTGAGGAGGGAAGGCAGGGACGTGAGGAGGGAAGGCAGGGACGTGAGGAGGGAAGGCAGGGACGTGAGGAGGGAAGGCAGGGACGTGAGGAGGGAAGGCAGGGACGTGAGGAGGGAAGGCAGGGACGTGAGGAGGGAAGGCAGGGACGTGAGGAGGGAAGGCAGGGACGTGAGGAGGGAAGGCAGGGACGTGAGGAGGGAAGGCAGGGACGTGAGGAGGGAAGGCAGGGACGTGAGGAGGGAAGGCAGGGACGTGAGGAGGGAAGGCAGGGACGTGAGGAGGGAAGGCAGGGACGTGAGGAGGGAAGGCAGGGACGTGAGGAGGGAAGGCAGGGACGTGAGGAGGGAAGGCAGGGACGTGAGGAGGGAAGGCAGGGACGTGAGGAGGGAAGGCAGGGACGTGAGGAGGGAAGGCAGGGACGTGAGGAGGGAAGGCAGGGACGTGAGGAGGGAAGGCAGGGACGTGAGGAGGGAAGGCAGGGACGTGAGGAGGGAAGGCAGGGACGTGAGGAGGGAAGGCAGGGACGTGAGGAGGGAAGGCAGGGACGTGAGGAGGGAAGGCAGGGACGTGAGGAGGGAAGGCAGGGACGTGAGGAGGGAAGGCAGGGACGTGAGGAGGGAAGGCAGGGACGTGAGGAGGGAAGGCAGGGACGTGAGGAGGGAAGGCAGGGACGTGAGGAGGGAAGGCAGGGACGTGAGGAGGGAAGGCAGGGACGTGAGGAGGGAAGGCAGGGACGTGAGGAGGGAAGGCAGGGACGTGAGGAGGGAAGGCAGGGACGTGAGGAGGGAAGGCAGGGACGTGAGGAGGGAAGGCAGGGACGTGAGGAGGGAAGGCAGGGACGTGAGGAGGGAAGGCAGGGACGTGAGGAGGGAAGGCAGGGACGTGAGGAGGGAAGGCAGGGACGTGAGGAGGGAAGGCAGGGACGTGAGGAGGGAAGGCAGGGACGTGAGGAGGGAAGGCAGGGACGTGAGGAGGGAAGGCAGGGACGTGAGGAGGGAAGGCAGGGACGTGAGGAGGGAAGGCAGGGACGTGAGGAGGGAAGGCAGGGACGTGAGGAGGGAAGGCAGGGACGTGAGGAGGGAAGGCAGGGACGTGAGGAGGGAAGGCAGGGACGTGAGGAGGGAAGGCAGGGACGTGAGGAGGGAAGGCAGGGACGTGAGGAGGGAAGGCAGGGACGTGAGGAGGGAAGGCAGGGACGTGAGGAGGGAAGGCAGGGACGTGAGGAGGGAAGGCAGGGACGTGAGGAGGGAAGGCAGGGACGTGAGGAGGGAAGGCAGGGACGTGAGGAGGGAAGGCAGGGACGTGAGGAGGGAAGGCAGGGACGTGAGGAGGGAAGGCAGGGACGTGAGGAGGGAAGGCAGGGACGTGAGGAGGGAAGGCAGGGACGTGAGGAGGGAAGGCAGGGACGTGAGGAGGGAAGGCAGGGACGTGAGGAGGGAAGGCAGGGACGTGAGGAGGGAAGGCAGGGACGTGAGGAGGGAAGGCAGGGACGTGAGGAGGGAAGGCAGGGACGTGAGGAGGGAAGGCAGGGACGTGAGGAGGGAAGGCAGGGACGTGAGGAGGGAAGGCAGGGACGTGAGGAGGGAAGGCAGGGACGTGAGGAGGGAAGGCAGGGACGTGAGGAGGGAAGGCAGGGACGTGAGGAGGGAAGGCAGGGACGTGAGGAGGGAAGGCAGGGACGTGAGGAGGGAAGGCAGGGACGTGAGGAGGGAAGGCAGGGACGTGAGGAGGGAAGGCAGGGACGTGAGGAGGGAAGGCAGGGACGTGAGGAGGGAAGGCAGGGACGTGAGGAGGGAAGGCAGGGACGTGAGGAGGGAAGGCAGGGACGTGAGGAGGGAAGGCAGGGACGTGAGGAGGGAAGGCAGGGACGTGAGGAGGGAAGGCAGGGACGTGAGGAGGGAAGGCAGGGACGTGAGGAGGGAAGGCAGGGACGTGAGGAGGGAAGGCAGGGACGTGAGGAGGGAAGGCAGGGACGTGAGGAGGGAAGGCAGGGACGTGAGGAGGGAAGGCAGGGACGTGAGGAGGGAAGGCAGGGACGTGAGGAGGGAAGGCAGGGACGTGAGGAGGGAAGGCAGGGACGTGAGGAGGGAAGGCAGGGACGTGAGGAGGGAAGGCAGGGACGTGAGGAGGGAAGGCAGGGACGTGAGGAGGGAAGGCAGGGACGTGAGGAGGGAAGGCAGGGACGTGAGGAGGGAAGGCAGGGACGTGAGGAGGGAAGGCAGGGACGTGAGGAGGGAAGGCAGGGACGTGAGGAGGGAAGGCAGGGATACTTGCTCTCATTTCCCCCCCCTACATGCCTCCCTCCTCTCATTTCCCCCCCCTACATGCCTCCCTCCTCTCATTTCCCCCCCTTGCTCCCTCGATGTTTCCCCCACTGCTCCTCTACACTTCCCCCCACTTCTCCCTCTCATTTCCCCCCTTTATCCATCTCATTCCCCCCCCGTCTCCCCCTCATTGCCCCCACTTCTTCCTCTCATCTCCTCCCTTGCTCCATTTCCAACTCTGCTCCCCCTGACTTCTCCATCTTCTCCTCTCGTTTTACCCTTCTCCCCCTCCCCCCCCCCCCTTTCCATCTTCTCCTTTCCCCCAACCCTGTCCGTGGGGTGAGTGAGCTGGCGGGGAAGGGAGAGGAATAAGAGGGGACGGGGGAAGTGCGGATGGCAAGGAGGATTTGAGGGGGAAAAGAGGAGAAGAGAGGGTAAGAGAAGCAGGGGGGAAAAACTGAGAGCAGGGGGGAAAAACTGAGAGCAGGGGGGAAAAACTGAGAGCAGGGGGGAAAAACTGAGAGCAGGCGGGAAAAACTGAGAGCAGGGGGGAAAAACTGAGAGCAGGGGGGAAAAACTGAGAGCAGGGGGAAAAACAGGAGCAGAGGAAGAAAGGAGGAGCAGTGGGTGGAAAGAGGTGCAGTAAGGGAAAGGATGAGCAGAGGGGGGAAAGATAAGCAGAGGGGGACAAGAGGAGCAGAGGGGGAATAGAGGAGCAGAGAGGGAAAGAGGAGCAGAGGGGAAAGTAAAGTAGGGGGGAAAAAGAGGAGCAGAGGGGGGAAAGAGGAGCAATGAGGGAAAAGAGGAGAAGAGGGGGAGAAGAGAAGCAGAGGGGGAAAAAGAGCGGAGGTGGGGAAGTTGAGAAGATGGGGAAAGAGGAGCAGAGGGGGAAAATAGGGGAAGCAGGCGGGGAAATGGTGGGAGGCAGGGGGGGAGATGAAGGAGGAAGAAAAGGAGTGGCGGGAGGACGAGAAGGCACGGCGGGAGGGGGAGGAGGCATGGTGGGAGGAGGAGAAGGCATGGTGGGAGAAGTCATGGTGGGAGGAGGAGAGGGGGTGGCGGGAGGAGGAGAAGGCATGGCGGGAGGAGGAGTGGGGGTGGCGGGAAGAGGAGAAGGGGAGAAATGAGGGCAAGCAGGGGAGCATTGAGGGCAAGCAGGGGGAGAAATGCGATCGTGCAAGGGGGAAAACAAGGCGTACAAGGGTGAAAATGAGGGCGTGCAAGGTGGGAAAACGAGGGCGTACAGGTGGGGAAGTGAGGGCGTTCAAGGGGGGTGCAGCGGGGATGCGGAAGCACAGCCGTTGCAAGAGAGTGAGAGGGGGCCGAGGGCCTTATCCGAATGCAGCTCGCGAAAGGAGGCCGCCGAGACGCGGAGAGGCAGCGACGGGAGGCAGGGTGAAGCCGACGACGCTGGCTAGGCCTCGCATGCGCGGGAAAGCGAGAGGAGGCCGCGCGTGGAGGCGAGAGGAGGCCGCGCGGGGAGGCGAGAGTCGCACGCGCGGGGAGGCGAGAGGAGAGCGCGGGGAGGCGAGAGTCGCACGCGCGGGGAGGCCGCACGGGGAGGCGAGAGGAGAGCGCGGGGAGGAGAGAGGAGAGCGCGGGGAGGCGAGAGGAGAGCGCAGGGAGGCGAGAGTCGCGCGCGTGGGAAGGCGTTAGGAGAGCGCGGGGAGGCAAGAGGAGGAGGCGCGGGGAGGTGAGAGGAGGAGGCGCGGGGAGGCGAGAGGAGCAGGCGCGGGGAGGCGAGAGGAGAACGCGCGGGGAGGCGAGAGGAGAACGCGCGGCAAGGCGAGAGGAGGCCGCGCGGCAAGGCGAGAGGAGGCCGCGCGGCAAGGCGAGAGGAGGCCGCGCGTGGAGGCGAGAGGAGGCCGCGCGTGGAGGCGAGAGGAGGCCGCGCGTGGAGGCGAGAGGAGGCAGCGCGGGGAAAGCGAGAGTCGAGCGCGCGGGGAGGCGTGAGGAGGCCGCGCGGGGAAAGCGAGAGGAGAGCGCGCGGGGAGGCGAACACGAGAGGGAGGGCACGCGAGCGGCGAGCGGGAAGCAGCGGCTAACCTCGCGCGGCGAACGGCAGACGGCGAGCTAGGAGTGGAGGACGGGATGGGATGGAAGATGCTAGCGCGTCGAGGCTAAACGGGACTCTGTGGGGAGGGGAGGCGCTGTCGCTAATGGCCTCGCGGTGAGGCAGCGAGAGGAGGCGTGGGGCGGCCTTGTCTAAGTTGGCGTGGCCTCTGCGAGTGCGTACGAATGGGCAATTTGTCCGCGCATGCGCGCAAACAGCGTTACGCGGTTCAATAACAGATTCTGTCCCTAAATTTAGCTGTTTGGTTAGAACGTTGCCTAGCCTACGGGGAATAACCTACCGAAGTAGGAGCGCGTGGGCTTTCCTCTCAATACCGCAGTTTCAGTTTCCTTTTGCAAGTCCTAAGGTTTTGAACTGTGAGTGCGGGGAGCTGGACGTGGGGCGTTTGGGGACTCACTTCGCCTGTCAACTGGGGGGTTGGGGGTTGTAATCGCGTAACCAGTTTTTCAAGTTCCTAAGGTTTTTGAAACCCCTGCTTGCAAAAGTATACTGTTGCTTTAAGGGCTAGTTTCGCTCCAGCTCCAATGCGTCAAGTTTTAGATTCGCACCCCACCCGTGCCACTAAGTGCTTCGTTCGACCCTTCCCCGGATGCGTTAAGGGACGAAACCAGGCCTTCCCCTTTATCTAAGTTTTGGTTTCCGATAGTAGGACCCCCCCCAGGCTGCCAGAGACCATCCCCCTCTCTTTCTCCTTAGCCTGCACGAGAGCGCGCCAAGTGGATTTTTCCCTTAGCGTTTTCTAGCCAATCTCGTGAGCGTAGAGTGTCTCAGTCAGCCTTGGAGCACCCGAACATTCCCTTAGCGTCCAATACATGCCCGGATTTCAAGTTTTTACTTTGGGGTGCGCCCGTGACCGTTAAGGGCGCCAAAACGCTCACCTACACCCAACCAAGGGTCAGATGGGGAGGAGCTGGGGAGTGCAAGTACGAGCCCCATAAACTTTGACAGGCCTGGTCGCCACGTCAGAGAAAGGAACGTGTCAGGAACCGGGTAAGCTAAAGGGTCGAATCTCGACATTCGACCAAAGTTGTGTTGTTGTGATTGGGTTGAAAAATAACATGCGGTTCGAACACCCTAACAGCGAAAATTGATACCAGTTCGCCCTAAAATCAAAATGATTATCGCAAAAAAAAAGTGTAGCCATTGCAGTTTCCGAAAATCACACGCGCCCTCAGCGAACCAGCAGTGTGGAGCATATGGAAGCAGACTTGCTATGGAATCAGACTTGCTATGGAATCAGACTTGCTATGGAAGCAAACTTGCTTCCAGGGCTGTCGATTCAAGGGCATTTACCCTTATGCCCTAAACATTCCGAGTGGACTTCCACTCAGCTTCGTCGTTTAAGGGTTGGTTTCTGGGGTATCCCAGATATCCTACGGACTGAGTTTGACAAACAGGGGCCTCAACCCTGATTCTAAGTATGAGGGACCCTTGAGTAGCCAGATCCTCGAACTCAATCTATCACCCTTAGCTACCGAACACCCACGCACTGCAGGTTTCTGGAATTTGTCGTCGTGTGTGATGCCCATGTTGTCGTCGTGTCGTCGTCGCAAACATATCGAACCGTAAACATCGTGACAAGAAACTGACGAAATTCGGGTTAGAAAAATAACGAACCGTAAACGTCGTCACTTAGAGTTAGTAGCACGTCTACACGTTTAGAAGGAGGTCGCAGATTTAGGCTTGTAGAGCTGCAGATGTGTAGATGTGTAGTTCGTATGGTACTTTCTGATGCTAAGTAGTATGTCCTTCCTTTTGCTCAAACCACTCATGGATGGTTAAGTACACTTTCCTAAGAAGCCCGGATTTCAAGTTCTGATTTTCACCTGCGCCCGTGCCCGGCAAAGGCGAAAAAAGGTCACCTTGGTGAAAATAAGGACGTGGTGCAGAACGGGTCCAGACCCGGTGCACCGAGGCGTCCCGGGGCGCCCCAGCTCGCCCCGTGGCACGCCTCCTGTCCAAGTAAATTCCATGTAGTCTTCCAAGTGCTGGGTTCGAACCTTCGCCCAGCAATGGGCGAAGGCGCAATAAAAAAACACTTTCATCAATATCATCGCGCGACAATTTCGGCAAGTAACCAAAATCTTGAGAGTTTGCAAGCATTTCGAGCGTGCTGGGGCGTCCCAGGGCACGCCCCGGGGCGTGCCAGCACGCGTCGGTGCATCGCCTCGTCCCGGCACGCCCGGGTTCCCGCATGCGTGGAAGCTTCAAAACCCGATGCACCGCGGTGCATCGAGGCGTGCCAAGGCGTTTCGAGCAGCTCAGGACCCCAAGTTTTGGCCCCAGGGACTTCGACAGCCCTCCTTGCTACAAGCACTTTCCCCGACTTGTTCGTTTAATTGGGTTCTGTTGGTGCAAAAGTCCTCTACTGTACTATCATGGTACATGTCCTATGGTTGGAGCTTTTCATAAACACATGACTCGCCAAAGGCAGTTACGATTGTATGCTTCCTTTACCAGCCATATACACATAAATACGTATGTGTAGAGAAAGGTCGCGAATTTTCGGACGAAAAGAACGGTGTCTGTTAACATTTAAAACCAGGATCTCAAGTATTTTGGTTGTTTTGCAGTTAGTGAATTGCGCTCGGTTGTGATTGGTTGACGAGGTAGAGTAGTTGACGAGAGCTGAAACGAGGGATGCGAAGCAAACAAAATTCGCAGGCTGCTTCTGAACCACATAGGCACGAAAATCTGGTTGGGTTCCGAAGCTCATTTCCCAGCAATGTGGAAGTGCTACCGAAAAATATCATGTACAGCAATTTGTTTTGCAATTGAGATTCACGGGCAAAACGGAAATCTGTCGCACACTGAAGCTCCAACCCAACCACTCTATTTCGCCTACAAAAAACAGGGTGATTCGAGCTGCAAGTGTTTTGCAATTGAAGCCAATTTCTCTTACTTGAGATCCTGACTTTAAAAGGCCGTGTAACATTTTTCGAAATCGCTGAAAGGCCGTGTAACATTTTTCGAAATTGCTGAAAGGCCGTGTAACATTTTTCGAAACCGCTGAAAGTCCGGACGGTAGTCCGGACGCGTGCGAAGATTACGACGCCGCACGGTCGCGTTGAGACCAATGCGATGTCTTTAAGGAAGCAATACTAAGCATGCGACGTCGTGTAGACCCTGACGAACGTACTGTCGAATTTGAAGATTATATAACCACACAATCGTCCAGACGGTGGCCGTCCAGACGAAAAAATGAAAAATGTTACACGCATTAGGCGGTCGTCAAGTTGCACGCAGCTTTCTGAGTGGAGGGCGAAAGCGAAAGCGGGGGAAGGAGGGCCGCATGCCTCGGCCGGCAGGGACTGACGGCGCGCTGGTACTGCGCTGCGCCCACGAACGTAGGCGAGGGTCAGAAACACCGCCCCAGTCCTTTCCGTTCCGCGTTACCACCTTCCGGCTGCCGTGCGGTATTCTCCATTTCCCCCGACCACTTCAAGATCTGCTTCGCAGCACCCTAACCGAACCCAAACAGTATCAGCACCATCTGTACGCCGCTTCAAGCCTTTTATCTTATTGAACTCCCCTCACTTCTCATTGCTGCTTCTCCAAATCGCAGCTTCGTCCTCGCCTCACCTTGGTAAACGCTAGCTGCCTGTCTCTAAATTATCTCTTTCCTACATTCAACTGGTAGCAACCGTTCCTGCATCAGCTTGTAATTGTTCGCTACGCCATGTCTCACAAAGTTCTCCCTTACTCTCACAAGAGCCGCTCTTCTCGGCGAACTCCTTTCCTTATCACCCCATGTCACTCTTTCGCGCTCGCGAAGTTCATGGCAGCGCTCACCGCGCTGCTCGCCCCGTCAACCACCGCGCTGAAACTCGGCCCGTATGTCCCGCCGCCGGATCCTACGACCACTCGCGGCCCGTGCCCAGGCTTCAACACGATGGCGAACCACGGCGTCTTTCCGCGCGACGGCTCCGCCATTCCGCGCAGCCTAATTGTCGACGCCTTCAGCAAGTTCTACTCCTTCTCCCCGGCCATGTCGAACGCCATTCTTGATTCCGCCTTCGCGAAAGGTGTGGGGGACCCCGCGGCGCAGACAATCGACCTCGTGCAGCTCCGCGCGCACAACAAGATCGAGCACGACGTGTCGCTTGTCCGCGATGACTCCTACCTTGGTAACAACTACCTCGTTAACGTAACACTCTTTAACGAAATGCTTAGCTTCTCCGCGACGAAGAAATTCATCACTCTTGGTGAGATCGGCCGCTTCCGCAAGCACCGCTTTGACTTTTGCAAGAAGAACAACCCCGAGCTCAGTTACGACACGAATCGCCAAAACGTGGCGCTCTCCGAAGCGGCGGCGCTGGCAGGGGTGTTCGGCGGAAGCGTCCGCGCTTACTCTGTTCCGATAAGCTACCTCAAGTCGTTTCTCCGTGATGAACGCTATCCCAAAGGCTTCAAGCCGCCGGTTGTTCCGTTGAGCTTCCCTGAGCTGCTCGCCGTGTCGGCGCACATCAAGGTCGCTGCGTCTTTGGCTTAGCTATATAACTTGTCTCGAAAATCTGGGAAGTGCCTGACTTCCAGCACATCCCAAGAAGGTACATAGTATTACCGTAGTTGCAGGAGTAAAGTGCAGCTGGTTTTTTGCCAACATGCTGGTTGTTACCGGTAGTTTACCATCAATGACAGATTCTTTTGCAAAGATCAAATGATTAGATTATCAGCTAACAACAGCACCAAGACAAACTGCATCACTCATCAATATACTAACTGGCATCCACACCTTCCCGATGCACCTGAAACTTCACAATCTCCTCCTGGCCATCTTTTTCTTCTGCCACCAATCCAGCACTAACAGATACGGTACCCGCCTGGCGTTTTCTCATTTGGTGCTGCCGGGTGCCTATTGGCTATGGTACATGTGTGAGGTTACTGCTGAGTGTCTCTGCTGCTGCTGTGTCTGTGTCTCAACTCCTCAGCCACACTCGGACCCTTCTCTGCTGCCACGTGGTACTCTCCCACAACCCCGTTTCCCACCCCACCCACCCCCTTCTTTTTCCCCTTCCCCTCCCCACGGTCATCGCTACCAGCAGAGCCATGAGCCGACCTCTCCACGTCAGCAGCGCCACTCGCACTGTGATTGGTCACCAGTGGTGCACCGGCGCACATGTGGCGTGCCATGGTGGAGAGCCGCATCAGCCTTCGCCGCCTCTCTCTGCGCTCGATCTCCTGCACCACCTCGTGGTCGCCCGGGCACACATGCCTGCCATGAGACGAGACACAGCAGGTTGAAAGCAGGGGAAGAGGGGGGGAGACAGTGAGCATCAGCGATGAATGGTTGAAAGCTTGAGGTGCCACTGTATTAACCCCGGCAATTCCCACCACCTTGTTCACGCAATTTTTTTGCACCAGCTGCTCGCAGACTGAAGTGGGAATTTGAGAGGATAATGTGAGGCATCAAGGGTGCCTGTCCCTCCCACCCCTCTTTCCCTTTTCCCCCTTGCCTATCCCGCCCAGCACCTCCAAATCCCGTGGACAGCGTAGGACGGCAGCATTGCGGCCACCACTGCCAGAAGCAGGTTGAGCCAGAAGCTGGCGGCGGGCAGCAGGTGGGATGCAGTGCGAGTGTGAGCAGATAATGTGAGGCACAAGGGTGCCTGTCCCTTCCATCTGCTCTTTCCCCGTCCTCCCCTCCCAATCCCACCCCAGTGAGCCCACGCCCTCACCTCCAAATCCCCCAAATAGCGTCATGGCTGTCACCACTGCCAGAAGCAGCCTGCAACAAAAGGACCCCCATCCCTCCCATCCGCTCTTTTCCCTTTACCCACCTCCCAACGCCCCTCAGCCCCACCTCCAGTTCCCGCTGCGTGGATAGCGTAGGACGGCAGCATTGCAGCCACCACTGCAGCAGCAGCAGCCTGCAACACAAGGGCCCCCATCCCTCCCATCCGCTCCTTCCCCTTCCGCACCTCCCAATCCCGGCCCAGCGCCCCCAAGGCTCACCTCCAGATCCCGCGGATGGCATATGATGGCAGCATGGCGCCCACCACGGCCAGCACCAGGTTGAGCCAGAAGCTGGCGGCGGGCAGCAGCTGGGCGGCCACGCCCACCAGATTGCCGACCCACTTGGCAGGCAGATAGCTGCCGACCGTCATGAGGATGAAGAAGAAGAGGATGGAGCCGAATATGGTCAGGAAATGCAACACGTTCCAATACTGTTGGTGGGGAGGCAAATGTAAGGCGACGGAGAGGGGGGGGGGGGAAGGGAGGAGAGGGGGAGGGGGAAAGAGAGGAAAGCAAGAAAGAAAGGGAGTGTATTTGCATGTTAATGAATGTGTAGCTTGGAGACATGCGCTTCAACAACGTGGGACTGATGTTTGGCTGGGAGGGCAGGGATGAAGGAAGGCAGGAGAAAGTACAAGGCTAGGGAGTGCAAGCGGTGTGGAAGGCGGGGGAGTGCAAGCGGTGTGGAAGGCGGGGGAGTGCAAGCGGTGTGGAAGGCGGGGGAGTGCAAGCGGTGTGGAAGGCGAGGGAGTGCAAGCGGTGTGGAAGGCGGGGGAGTGCAAGCGGTGTGGAAGGCGGGGGAGTGCAAGCGGTGTGGAAGGCGGGGGAGTGCAAGCGGTGTGGAAGGCGGGGGAGTGCAAGCGGTGTGGAAGGCGGGGGAGTGCAAGGGGTGTGGAAGGAGAGGGAGTGCAAGCGGTGTGGAAGGCGGGGGAGTGCAAGCGGTGTGGAAGGCGAGGGAGTGCAAGCGGTGTGGAAGGCGGGGGAGTGCAAGCGGTGTGGAAGGCGGGGGAGTGCAAGCGGTGTGGAAGGCGGGGGAGTGCAAGCGGTGTGGAAGGCGGGGGAGTGCAAGCGGTGTGGAAGGCGGGGGAGTGCAAGCGGTGTGGAAGGCGAGGGAGTGCAAGCGGTGTGGAAGGCGGGGGAGTGCAAGCGGTGTGGAAGGCGAGGGAGTGCAAGCGGTGTGGAAGGCGGGGGAGTGCAAGCGGTGTGGAAGGCGGGGGAGTGCAAGCGGTGTGGAAGGCGAGGGAGTGCAAGCGGTGTGGAAGGCGGGGGAGTGCAAGCGGTGTGGAAGGCGAGGGAGTGCAAGCGGTGTGGAAGGCGGGGGAGTGCAAGCGGTGTGGAAGGCGGGGGAGTGCAAGCGGTGTGGAAGGCGGGGGAGTGCAAGCGGTGTGGAAGGCGGGGGAGTGCAAGCGGTGTGGAAGGCGAGGGAGTGCAAGCGGTGTGGAAGGCGGGGGAGTGCAAGCGGTGTGGAAGGCGGGGGAGTGCAAGCGGTGTGGAAGGCGGGGGAGTGCAAGCGGTGTGGAAGGCGGGGGAGTGCAAGCGGTGTGGAAGGCGAGGGAGTGCAAGCGGTGTGGAAGGCGGGGGAGTGCAAGCGGTGTGGAAGGCGGGGGAGTGCAAGCGGTGTGGAAGGCGGGGGAGTGCAAGCGGTGTGGAAGGCGGGGGAGTGCAAGCGGTGTGGAAGGCGGGGGAGTGCAAGCGGTGTGGAAGGCGGGGGAGTGCAAGCGGTGTGGAAGGCGGGGGAGTGCAAGCGGTGTGGAAGGCGGGGGAGTGCAAGCGGTGTGGAAGGCGGGGGAGTGCAAGCGGTGTGGAAGGCGGGGGAGTGCAAGCGGTGTGGAAGGCGGGGGAGTGCAAGCGGTGTGGAAGGCGGGGGAGTGCAAGCGGTGTGGAAGGCGGGGGAGTGCAAGCGGTGTGGAAGGCGGGGGAGTGCAAGCGGTGTGGAAGGCGGGGGAGTGCAAGCGGTGTGGAAGGCGGGGGAGTGCAAGCGGTGTGGAAGGCGGGGGAGTGCAAGCGGTGTGGAAGGCGGGGGAGTGCAAGCGGTGTGGAAGGCGGGGGAGTGCAAGCGGTGTGGAAGGCGGGGGAGTGCAAGCGGTGTGGAAGGCGGGGGAGTGCAAGCGGTGTGGAAGGCGGGGGAGTGCAAGCGGTGTGGAAGGCGGGGGAGTGCAAGCGGTGTGGAAGGCAGGGGAGTGCAAGCGGTGTGGAAGGCGGGGGAGTGCAAGCGGTGTGGAAGGCGGGGGAGTGCAAGCGGTGTGGAAGGCGAGGGAGTGCAAGCGGTGTGGAAGGCGAGGAGTGCAAGCGGTGTGGAAGGCGAGGGAGTGCAAGCGGTGTGGAAGGCGAGGGAGTGCAAGCGGTGTGGAAGGCGAGGGAGTGCAAGCGGTGTGGAAGGCGAGGGAGTGCAAGCGGTGTGGAAGGCGAGGGAGTGCAAGCGGTGTGGAAGGCGAGGGAGTGCAAGCGGTGTGGAAGGCGAGGGAGTGCAAGCGGTGTGGAAGGCGGGGAGTGCAAGCGGTGTGGAAGGCGAGGGAGTGCAAGCGGTGTGGAAGGCGAGGGAGTGCAAGCGGTGTGGAAGGCGAGGGAGTGCAAGCGGTGTGGAAGGCGAGGGAGTGCAAGCGGTGTGGAAGGCGAGGGAGTGCAAGCGGTGTGGAAGGCGGGGGAGTGCAAGCGGTGTGGAAGGCGGGGGAGTGCAAGCGGTGTGGAAGGCGAGGGAGTGCAAGCGGTGTGGAAGGCGAGGGAGTGCAAGCGGTGTGGAAGGCGAGGGAGTGCAAGCGGTGTGGAAGGCGAGGGAGTGCAAGCGGTGTGGAAGGCGAGGGAGTGCAAGCGGTGTGGAAGGCGGGGGAGTGCAAGCGGTGTGGAAGGCGAGGGAGTGCAAGCGGTGTGGAAGGCGAGGGAGTGCAAGCGGTGTGGAAGGCGAGGGAGTGCAAGCGGTGTGGAAGGCGAGGGAGTGCAAGCGGTGTGGAAGGCGAGGGAGTGCAAGCGGTGTGGAAGGCGAGGGAGTGCAAGCGGTGTGGAAGGCGAGGGAGTGCAAGCGGTGTGGAAGGCGAGGGAGTGCAAGCGGTGTGGAAGGCGAGGGAGTGCAAGCGGTGTGGAAGGCGAGGGAGTGCAAGCGGTGTGGAAGGCGAGGGAGTGCAAGCGGTGTGGAAGGCGAGGGAGTGCAAGCGGTGTGGAAGGCGGGGAGTGCAAGTGGTGTGGAAGGCGAGGGAGTGCAAGCGGTGTGGAAGGCGAGGGAGTGCAAGCGGTGTGGAAGGCGAGGGAGTGCAAGCGGTGTGGAAGGCGAGGGAGTGCAAGCGGTGTGGAAGGCGAGGGAGTGCAAGCGGTGTGGAAGGCGAGGGAGTGCAAGCGGTGTGGAAGGCGGGGAGTGCAAGCGGTGTGGAAGGCGGGGGAGTGCAAGCGGTGTGGAAGGCGAGGGAGTGCAAGCGGTGTGGAAGGCGAGGGAGTGCAAGCGGTGTGGAAGGCGAGGGAGTGCAAGCGGTGTGGAAGGCGAGGGAGTGCAAGCGGTGTGGAAGGCGAGGGAGTGCAAGCGGTGTGGAAGGCGAGGGAGTGCAAGCGGTGTGGAAGGCGAGGGAGTGCAAGCGGTGTGGAAGGCGAGGGAGTGCAAGCGGTGTGGAAGGCGAGGGAGTGCAAGCGGTGTGGAAGGCGAGGGAGTGCAAGCGGTGTGGAAGGCGAGGGAGTGCAAGCGGTGTGGAAGGCGAGGGAGTGCAAGCGGTGTGGAAGGCGAGGGAGTGCAAGCGGTGTGGAAGGCGAGGGAGTGCAAGCGGTGTGGAAGGCGAGGGAGTGCAAGCGGTGTGGAAGGCGAGGGAGTGCAAGCGGTGTGGAAGGCGAGGGAGTGCAAGCGGTGTGGAAGGCGGGGGAGTGCAAGCGGTGTGGAAGGCGAGGGAGTGCAAGCGGTGTGGAAGGCGAGGGAGTGCAAGCGGTGTGGAAGGCGAGGGAGTGCAAGCGGTGTGGAAGGCGAGGGAGTGCAAGCGGTGTGGAAGGCGAGGGAGTGCAAGCGGTGTGGAAGGCGAGGGAGTGCAAGCGGTGTGGAAGGCGAGGGAGTGCAAGCGGTGTGGAAGGCGAGGGAGTGCAAGCGGTGTGGAAGGCGAGGGAGTGCAAGCGGTGTGGAAGGCGAGGGAGTGCAAGCGGTGTGGAAGGCGAGGGAGTGCAAGCGGTGTGGAAGGCGAGGGAGTGCAAGCGGTGTGGAAGGCGAGGGAGTGCAAGCGGTGTGGAAGGCGAGGGAGTGCAAGCGGTGTGGAAGGCGAGGGAGTGCAAGCGGTGTGGAAGGCGAGGGAGTGCAAGCGGTGTGGAAGGCGAGGGAGTGCAAGCGGTGTGGAAGGCGAGGGAGTGCAAGCGGTGTGGAAGGCGAGGGAGTGCAAGCGGTGTGGAAGGCGAGGGAGTGCAAGCGGTGTGGAAGGCGAGGGAGTGCAAGCGGTGTGGAAGGCGAGGGAGTGCAAGCGGTGTGGAAGGCGAGGGAGTGCAAGCGGTGTGGAAGGCGAGGGAGTGCAAGCGGTGTGGAAGGCGAGGGAGTGCAAGCGGTGTGGAAGGCGAGGGAGTGCAAGCGGTGTGGAAGGCGAGGGAGTGCAAGCGGTGTGGAAGGCGAGGGAGTGCAAGCGGTGTGGAAGGCGAGGGAGTGCAAGCGGTGTGGAAGGCGAGGGAGTGCAAGCGGTGTGGAAGGCGAGGGAGTGCAAGCGGTGTGGAAGGCGAGGGAGTGCAAGCGGTGTGGAAGGCGAGGGAGTGCAAGCGGTGTGGAAGGCGAGGGAGTGCAAGCGGTGTGGAAGGCGAGGGAGTGCAAGCGGTGTGGAAGGCGGGTATGGATGGAGGTATGTGCGCCCCACATCACTCACTTCCACACACATGCTGCTGCTATCACTGACACATCCGTCCTAACACTCCCTCACATACACTACACAGCACGGCAACACCAAGGCACCCGAACACCTCACCTGCACGTTGGAGCCGAGTTCAAGGTTGACGGTGGTGACCACAGCGGCATACATGATGGTGCCGATGGCTGTGAGGTCCAGAATGAGCCCACTGCTGCGGTCAGGCACGAGGGCGAAGGGCAGCAGCGTGAGGGCGAAGATGATGCCCGCCTGCACCAGCCCGTTCACCATCCAGCTCGCCACATTCAGCACTGAGAAGTACTCGTTGCGCTGGCCCTGGCGTTGGGAGGGGAGGGAAAGAGAGGAGGGTGTGGGGAATGGGCAGTGGAGCCATCCAGGTCCCCACGCTCAACAATGGTACGTACTCCATACGCCGGGCCAGGGGGGAGGGAAGGTGTGGTGGGGTTGTGGTGAATGGGAGATGACGATAGCACAACCCTGAGAAGCACTCGTTGCACTCCATAGGAGGTGGGGATAGATTTTTCAAGAGAGGGGTGGCGAATGTGGTGTGGTGTGGTAGGTGGGGAACAAGGAAGAGAAGGGCCATGGGCCCACCAGCCCATGCAGCTGCCCCTCACGCCCTGAAGAACCGACCTGGCCGTATAGCTGCCCGTCACGCCCTGAACTGAACCACTCACCTGCTTGTAGAGCTGCGGGTAGCGCAGGCGGTAGACGGGCTTGACGTCCACCACACCCACAGGGCAGTGAGGGAGCAAGGGCGCACGTGCAGGTTCACATACCTGTAGTTTTGCTGGCCCACACACTCACACCCATCCGCCCACCTGCTTGTAAAGCTGCGGGTAGCGCAGGCGGTAGACGGCCTTGACGTCCTGGTCCATGATACCCACGACGCCGATGGGCAGCGAGGTGAAGAAGACCATGAAGAGCGTGAGGTACCAGTCGTAGTACACCGATGTGCCGGAGAAGTAGGCGAGACAGTTGTAAAAGAGAATGGTGAAGGCGAACACGAAACACTTGTAGAAGAAATAGGTTATCTGTTTGTGGGGGAAAGGTCGGATGGGGTGGGGTGGGGTGGGATGAGATGGGACGGGATACGGATTAGAAAAGGCAAGGGAAGGAAAGGCCATGGTGGGAGTAGGGGATGGTCACGGCGAAAAGAAAGCACACGTAGAAGAAGTGGGTGATGCTGTGTGGGATGGCGTGGGATGGCGTGGGACGGCGTGGGATGGCGTGGGATGGCATGCGTGGGACCACGTGGAACGGGATGGGACAGGCTATGGAGGAAGGAGGAGACAGGAGCAGGCTATGGAGAAGAGGAAGAGCAAGCAATCGAGGTGAAGATGGTCTGGTTTGGAATGGAAACTATGGGTATGAGCAGCAGCAGCAGGTTATACACACAGACAAGTAACGACTAGTACAGAAGGGCCCGCACTGACCAGAATGCAGATGCGCTTGTAGCACCACCCCCCGTGCACCAATAGCAGCCGCTCCAGAAATCGGAACTGGCCAATGGCGAAGTCTGATGCCATGACAGCCTGGCCGTGGCATAGGCATGCGAGGCGGGTGGCAGAGGAAACACGTGGGGCAATGAATGCTGGGGCAGGCAGGCAGAGACCATGGGGGGTGCACGACGGCAATCGCAGCAGAGGCAGCCATGGCATGTTGTACAGGTGCAGCAAGGACGGCAACTATGAACGCTACCCCCACATCCCTACTTCTGATGCGCCTCAAGCTGCACAGACATTCGGGCCAGAAATCCAATTTCTCTCTCTTGACTTTCTATCTCATCGTCCCCTGCTGCACCTGCCACCCTCGCCTCACCTGCCACCCTCGCCTCACCTGCCACCCTCGCCTCACCTGCCACCCCTCGCCTCACCTGCTGCCCCGCGCCTCACCTGCTGCCCCTCCTCGCCGCGAATCCCCACGCCGATGTTCGCCTTCTGAATCATGCCCACGTCGTTAGCCCCGTCCCCAATGGCCAAGCAGATCTGCTGGCCCTCGCGCCGCACCATGGCCGTCACCTGCGCCTTCTGCTTGGGCGACACACGGCAGCAGATCACGGACGCGCACTGCAGCGCCAGCTCCAGGAAGGCGGCGCGCAGGGCATCGTCCGCCAGCACCAGTGCCAGTGCCTTGCCGTCTATCACCACCGCATGCTCCTGTGCCGCCCCTCCCTCGCTGCCACTCTCACTCCCACTTCCACTCTCGCCCTCACTCCTGCCACCATCCCCGCTGTGCTCCTCTGCACGGTTATCGGCACCGTTGCTGCTGGCCTGTGTGCTGCGTGCGTGCTGTGCGCGTGCCCACTGCGCGGCGTGCACGGACTCACTGGCTGCCAGGATCTGCGAGCGCACCAACTCCGCTGCAAACTGCAGCGCGCGCGAGCAAGCGTGGAGAAGACGGTGCAGTGCAACCAGGTGTTGCGAGGGACGGGAGTGGGGAGTGGGGAGGCGAGGGGGGAGAAGAGAGTGGTTCATTACTCAGTGCATAAGAGCTGCCAAATGCCGAGCATGCAGGATGGGACGGGGAAGGGGGAAATGGGTGCACTTGGGGGGAGCATCGAGAGGATGGGTGCGGTGGGGCATGCAAGAGGAAGAGCGGAGACGGTTGCATTGTGAGTGAGAAGACGATCAAAGGCAGGAGCATCTGAATCGACTTAATAACACGCACGCAGGGCCACACGGCCCTAAGTGGGCAGGGCACAGTAAAGCAGTGGTACCACTCACATCCTTGAGTGGCACGCCCCTTCTGGCAGCCTCCTTGGCAGCGGCGTCATTGTCCTCGAGGAACACGAGGTGCTGCTGCATGTGGTGGCGCAGCAGGCTGCATGCGAACCCGATGTTGATAGCTGTCTCCAGCTTGTCGCCTGTCAGCACCCACAGCTTTATCCCCGCCTGCGCCAACGCCTCTATCGCCTGTGGTACCCCCACCTGCAAAGGGCATGGGGGACATGATGGAGGGGCCATGCAATGCGACGAACACACAGGGGAACGGGGAGAGAGAACCATGAGAGGATGCGGAAGTGGGGAGTGAGCCAGTGACTTGATAGCTTGTGGCTTGTGGACGGCGCCAAATGAGAGGGCAGCTGTGAGGCACAGCTTTTCACAGATGGACTGCAGCGAGCCCCCACATATCCCCTCCCCCATCTGCGTCCCCCCGCACCTGTTCCCCCGCTCCCCCTTTACCTGCAGCTTGTCCTCAATGGCAGTGGCAGTGGCACCCACCAGCACCAGCTCTCTCTCCAGCTGTAGCTTGCCTCACCTGCCCTCCCCCCTTCCTGCCCTCCCCCTCACCTGTCCCCCCCCTCCCACCACGTCACCTGCCTCCCCCCCACACCTGTTCCTTTCCTCCCTTCACCTGCAGTGTGTCCTCAATAGCAGTGCCCCCCACCAGCACCAGTCCGCTCTCCAGCTCATCAACCAGCCCCTCCAGCCGCTCCGCCTGCAGCTCGCCCCCCCTACCCCCACCCCCCAGCACTCCACCAGCTCACCTGCAGCTTGTCTTCAATGGCAGTGGCGCCCACCAGCGCCAGTCCACTCTCCAGCTCATCAGCCAGTGCCTCCAGTCGCTCCGCCTGCACACCCGCGTCCGCCACGTACCCCTTGGCGTCCACCCACCGCTGCTGCCACGCCGCGTACTCCTCCTCGCCCACCTCCCTCCACGCGATCGCCAGCGTTCTAAGCCCCGCCTCCGCGTACATGGTCATGTGGCGCTCCGTGATTGGCCGGTACTTCTGAGCCTGCTCGGAGGTCCCGAGGCGGTCCATGATGACGCTGTCTGCGCCCTTGCAGAGCAGCAGCAGGCGCCCCTCTGGCGTGCGCACCACCACCGACATGCGCTTGCTGTGCGCAGACAGGGAGGCGCAATGGGGGTGGAGAAGTAGGTGGGGGTAAAAAGGGGAGAAGGGGAAGAGATAAAAACGGGGAGGAGGTAGGGGTTGTTCATGGGTGTGGGTAAAAGGATGGAGGATACAAGCAGTTGGAAAGAGAAAAGGGACGGGTTGGGAGATTAAGGGGAGGGAGAACTGAGTGGGGAAGTGGGCCTGAGAGAAACAAAACAGATTACACTCACCGGTGGCTGGTGAACTCGAGAGTGTTGAGCAGCTCGTACGACCGGTCCTGCACCACACTCCACTGCGCCCCATACTCGCGCACTTTCAGCTGGTTACCCTGCCGGCCCAGGAACAGGAACCCCAGGCGCTTCGCCGCCACCACAAAGGCCGCCTCATCGGGCGACTCCGCCAGGAACCTCACCGCCTCCCCATCCACCGCCTCCTCCCCTCCCGGTAACAGCGGCGACGGCGTCTCTCCCCCACTTTCCCCTTCCCCTGGCAGCAGCGGCGTGCCCCCTACGCCCATCACCCCTGTGCCTGCACTGACCGCCCCGCCACCTCTCACACTGGATCCCCCACTCGCCACGCTCACACTGCTGCTGCTGCTCTTCATCCCGGGACTCGCTCCCACGCCCACCCCGCCTGCGCCATTCCCCATACCACCCCCGCCCCCACACCCGCTGTAGCACTGCCCATGGCAAAGATATTACTACTGGCAGCGCGCTCAATGGGCGCCGTATCCACCACGACAGTGTGGCACACCGACAGCACCTCCAGGAACCGTCGGATCTCATCGGCACACGGCTGCTCCACCCACTTCATGCCGTCCAACCTTGGGTCGCGCATGTTAAAGCCCTTCTCCAGGGGGCGCTCCGGCACGTACACCTGCTCGTCGTCCTCGTCCTCTTCTGGGGGAGGGCGGCCTGCGCGCTGGGCGGCGGCCTTCTCGACCTCGGTGACGCCCATGCCGTAGGGCGTGCCGGCGATGGAGCACTTGAAGAACTCCATCTGGTTGCGTGTGAGCGTGCCTGTCTTGTCTGATAGCACCGTGCGCACCTGATGGGCGTGACCAGGGGGCAACAGTGCAGGGATGGGTGGGAAGGCATGCAAGGAAAAGGGAGGGGTCTTAAGGTTTAGCCATTCAACCCCCTCCTAGCCCCATGTCCACCCCTTTGGCCCCTTTCCCTCAGTCACAGCCCCTCCTCAAAGGCCTTCCACTCCTCCTCCCCCTTGCATTCCCCTTCCCCTTGAATTTCCCCTCCTCTCCATTCACCAAGCCAGCACTGCCAGCGGGCAGTGCCTCACCATGCCGAGCTCCTCGTTGATGTTGGAGGTGCGGGCGAGCGCGGGGATGTCCTTGTCCTCGTAGTACATGTGCAGGTCGAATGATATCGTCACCGCCTGCAGCAGCTTCACAATCTCCATCGTCACATACAGCGATATCGGCACGAAGTAGCCTGCCGGGGGTGTGTGGGAGGTGGATGTGGAAGGGGGCACATGATTGGGGACGTACAAGCAGAGACGAAATGGATGACACGAGCAGAGACAGAGCGGCATTTGCAGACTGCAGCAGGTGCATGACCTCCAGGGATGAACGAGGAGGGGATGAGAGGTAAGGGGACGAGAGGGGAGGGGATGAGAGGGAAGGGGGTGAGAGGGGAGGGGATGAGAGGGGAGGGGATGAGAGGGAAGGGGATGAGAGGGGAGGGGATGAGAGGGGAGGGGATGAGAGGGAAGGGGATGAGAGGGGAGGGGATGAGAGGGGAGGGGATGAGAGGGGAGGGGATGAGAGGGGAGGGGATGAGAGGGGAGGGGATGAGAGGGGAGGGGATGAGAGGGGAGGGGATGAGAGGGGAGGGGATGAAAGGGGAGGGTGAGTGGGGAAAGGATCACGTGGTAGGGGATGAGAGGAAAGAGGATGAGACGGGAGGGGATGAGAGGGAGTGTCAAAGAGCTCACCATAGAGCACGAGGCACGTGAAGAACTGCAGCACGCCAGCGAGAGCGGGGTTGTCCGCGTTATACTGCGCCTTGTTAAGCCCCGTGAGCTGCGCGTTCTGATCCAGCTCCAGGTACCACATGTACTGCTCTTGATACGGCAGCCGCGCCGCGAAGACCGCGGCGGGGAAGATTGCGAGTGACAGCATGAGAACGAGCTCGAAAATGATGACGTAATCCAACCGCCTTTCCACGAAGCTTCGCTTGGACGGCGGATCCGTGGCGTTCATCATAATCTTCGTCTCGCGCCCCGAGTAAACCACCAGACCCACCGCGAACCGCGTGTTTCTTAACTTGGAGCCGCGAAGGAGAATGTTAGTCGGCGAGAGGAAAATAGGAGTCTCTTGAAGGCCCTCGAGGCGCATCTTCCCTGTGAATGTGTAGATCGAGACGTTAGGATGCTCGCACTCCACAGTGCCTCTTAATCTCGCCAGCTGCGACCCGTCGAGCGAATACGTCTCGTGGAGCGCCTGGCGCAACTTCAGATTCGTCTCGCCGTCCAAATTCATAGTTTCTACGTAACACGAACCGTCGTCGCTGCTGCTGGCTAAGCAGATTAAATCTGCGGGGAAGTACGTGTCGCCTTCTACTTGAACTATGTCGCCGACTCTCAACTCTCTCCATTCTCGCATCGCTTCCGACCCATCCGGAAGAATCACGCGTATTTTCCGCTTATTCGTCTCGTAGTCCGACGCGCCGCGTTTAATATCCTCCCATAGCTCCTTAAGCATGGCGAGACCGATGACGAAGACGAGAGGGGTAATGGTGGTGATGGGCATCACGGGGCTGAGCGGCGTGAGGGAAATGATCGCGTTGAACAGGAAGTAAAAGTTCGCGACTCGTCTAAACTGCTCGAAGAGGCCTCGCGGAATGAACGTGTACCACGTGTACTTGGTCGTCGCGATCTTGTTGCTGCTGAATCTGAATTCCTCGTTGCTGTCAGCGTCGTTAATGTAAAAGAGCCGGTCCTCACGCTGCTCCGGCTTTTTAAAGAATCTTCGTATTCTCTCGAAGAAGCCCGTCATCTCTACTGGCACTAGTTGTGTCAGATACGAGCTTCCCTCGAGAGATTAAGGATATCAACTGCCTGAAGTTGCAGGTAAAGCGATTTCTATGTGTGCTGGTCGCGTACTGTCATGGTAACCGATGTGCCAGCTTGTAGCCACTGACTAACGAGAATGCGTCGAGACCCAGGAAGGAAGGCGAGCTGGTAAGAAACAGCCTTCACCAGCAAAGGACGCCCTTCACACAAAATGTCTCGTACTTCGAAGCCTATTTGGCCATTCATAGAACCAAACTCGTTCAACCAAACTCCTACCCTGTGGTGCGGTCCCAATTCATAGCACATGGTTGATGGTTGTACGTCAGGGTGATGTTGCAGAGCGTGGTTGGGCGGACTTGAGTTGGCCCAGCAGAGCGGATCTCCCCCCTCAAGAACAGCAGTGGGTGTAGTGTGGTGTGGTGTGGTGTGGTGTGGTGTGGAGTCGATGCGGGAGGGGGGGAATCTCCGACCGTAAACAGAGCAGAACAGCAGAACAGAACAGAGTAGGCGTGCCGTGGAGGGGAGGAGGTGAGATTCCGGCCTGGTGAGGTCAGTGAAGCGAAAGAGTGCGGCTTGCGGTTCGGCATCACTGACACAAGCCGCAACAGTAAATTGCTCACAGACGGGCACTAATCTTTTTACCAACATAACTCCATTCGAAATTGTTATAAACGAAGGGTTAAAGCTCAAGGCCCAAATTGCAGAGCGCGCGAGGCAAGATTACTAAAGTTGATGAGAGTTGTGTTTTGAGTCGTGTTTGGTTGCGAATTATGGTTACGAGAGGTGCGATGAAATTTGATTGGCCAACAGTTTTTGGTCGAATAGGAGAGAAGGAAACACCAAGAATATTGTGAGTGCAATTTGGGACTCGAGAACCAAACTGAGTTGCTCCCTGGGGTTTGCTGAGTCAGCGAAAACCCCGAGGGTGTAGCGCGAAGCTGGGCGAAACTGAACAGCCCAACTTCAAAAAAGTCAACCTTCCTCTCCCACCACCCAAAGGGCAACCTTAGTAAGGTTGAACAATTTGGGCCTTGAGCTTTAAATAGATATCATAATTCAGAATCCTGAATTGTTAATACCAGACCGTGTGCTCCTACCAACCTCCGTCCTCCACATTGAAAAAATATGACTAAGCAGCTCCGCCATGGATTACACCCTGCTGCATTTGGCGAAGCCAATGCGTAACAATTTTGTTACGAATAGTGAATGGTGAAAAAATACTGTGCACTCTTGACAGCAGCAAACGAAGCACGCATTAAAGAGAATGAAGGCGAAAAGGCGAATTGACACGAAGGTTCTCGTACGGTTACGAAGGACAGCAGCCAGCATCGGGCAGCTGCAGTGGCGAGGATTTGGCAGGAACGTTTTTGTAACCGTCTAGAGTCGCACGGTTGGATCTCGCTGTAATAAGGGAATGTACCCCTTAGAGTACATGGCTAGCTATGTCGTTTCTGTCAGAATCTAGCAGGAGAATGAATAAACTATGAAAAGGTTGGGTACAAGTACTAACCCTAATTGGGTTGTACCCCATACAGGCTACCCCACTACAGCCTACACAACACAATGTTCTGACACACCCCCATAGGCAAAGTGGGGGAGTACAAGCAGTCACAGAAAAGCAAAGCAAGCTCAGGGTGGATCACAAAGTCACCACGCATTCCGAGCACAAGCAAAGGGCCACAAGGCCAGTTCACATGCAGAGTTATAAAGAGCAAACAGTATAGTGATCACAACCTAGCAAGTGTAAGCATGCAGGTATACACATAGATCACAGTACAAGCAAAGTCACGCAGTAAGCAAGTGAGAAAACGTAGGCACAAGGCCTAAAGCAGTACAGAAACGCTGATGATCACCAGACGGAAGTGCCTTGGTGAATATATCAGCAAGACGAAGCTGACCACACTGCTGCAACTCTCGAGCAAGGAAGTAATGCAGAGCGATGTGCTTTGTTCTGTGCTCCAGTCTGTGCTCCTGATACAAGGCAATGGTGGCCTTGTGTACGTAGAGTACACTCCAGTGTACCCTCTATGTACACCCTCTCCCAGTGCTTTCGCCGGTGTCTCCCGAGCGCAACGTAGCGAGCAAGGATGCTAAGAGGGTACGCAAGGTCAAGTCGAATGCAGGTCATCAGGTACATGAGGCAGCCCACAAGCTCTGGATACGGGCCACTCGGCTCTACAGACTCGTCCGAAGGTGGAGCTGAGAGCGAGTGGTTGCAGAGAATGGACTGTGGCGAGGAGAACTGAAAGCCGAAGCGCTGAAGGACCTGCTGCACCATGTGTGACTGAGTCAAAGTGATGGTGCGCCGTGCTCTGTCCCAGGTGATCTGCAAGCCAAGATAGCTGCGCAGCTCACCCAGGTCAGTGCAGGTGTGTCTCTTCTACAGCTCCGACTTCACAAGGGCCAGTGCCTCAGTGTCAGCAGTGGCAAAAACCAAGTCGTCGACGCACACGAGGATGTAGAACGGCGGCAACGAAGTGTCTGTGCGCAGAAACAGCGACGGGTCAGCAGTCGAAGGAGCAAACCCAAGAGCCGCAAGTGTCGTCCTCAGTGTGTCATGCCACTCACGAGGCGCCTGGCGGAGACCATAGACTGGCCGCCGGAGGCTCCACTGGGTACCAGGAGGGAACGACCCAGTGAAGCCAGGTGGGCGGCGCAACCAGATCTCCTCGTGCAGGCTGCCCTGCAAGAACGCTGTGCTGAAGTCAAGAGAGTGAAGCTCGTAGTCACGCTGAGCGGCAACGTGCAGCAGCACCCGAAGAGTGGTCATCTTCAGGGTAGGGGAGAAGGTCTGGAAGAAGTCAACTCCTTGTCGCTGACTGAAGCCTCGAGCAACGTAACGAGCCTTGAAGACAGGCGGAGAACCCGGCGGCCGCTTCACCCTGAAAATCCACATGCCATCGACTATGTTCGCCCCAGGAGGGGGAACTGTGTCGACGTAGGTGCCTGTTAACTTCCAGGATGCCATCTCTGCGTCCATGGCTGCCTGCCACTGAGAGGAGTAGGGACCCGAAATCGCCTCTGCGTAAGAGCGCGGGGTCGGGATGTCCAGTGCATCCGGGTCTCCCTCAAGTGCAAGCAGCCATGCCACGAGATGAGGTACAGCAGCCGCAAGATACTCAAAGTCCTCCTGATTGTCCTCAAGGACGTCAGTGCCAAGAGCACACTCACCCGCGACGGACGGAGGACAGACAGACTCAGACTCAGCAACAAGACTAGCAGCATAGTCTAGACGACACGCAGCAGCAAAGTCCACAAGCTCAGTAAATGAGGCACACGCATCAGTAGACTCAAACGACGGGTCAGTGACGACTGTGGCCAGGAGACGCGTGACAGTGGGGCTGGCAGCACGAACCAAGTCAGACGCAAGGTCTGGGACGTCAGGAAGAGAGGACGCAGGAGGAGACGGCAGGGGGACACGCTGCGGAACAGAGGAAGGACGAAGTGCCATAGTGTGAGTACCTGGCACAGGAGGAGGACGCGGACGAGGGACACGACGAGCACGACGAACAGTGCGAACAGGGGAGGCAGGAAGAGATGCCGGCTCACGACGCTCTGTAAAGGAGACTGGCTTCTTAGTGTAAAGAGGGGGGGCAGGCAGTGGTGAGTCTGGAGGAAGGGCAGTGGATGAAGGAAGACTAAGAACCTGACGGAGCACCGACTCGGGCGGTAGTGAGGACGCCTGCGGCAGCGGCAAGAGAAACGGGCGCTGCTGCATAGGGCCCCCAGCTCCGGCACCTCCTGCTCCGGTGCCTCCAGCTCCAGTGCCTCCAGCGCCAGCGCCTCCAGCTCCAACGCTTGCAGCTCCAGAGTCACTGTTCCTGAGCACCAACACCAACTCTCCAACTCTAGCACCCCTAGCAGCACCACCCCCAGCAGCACCAGAGTCACCAGTGACCTTGAAAGGCTCTGCCAAGGGGAGTGGGTCTACCTGAGACACACCTGAAGGAGCAGGACCCAAAGGGGGGAGCGGGTCTACTGTAGGGGGACATGGAGCGAAGAAGAGTTGCGGGGGGGGGGGGGAAGAGGGGCAGTGCGGTAGGGGAAGAGACGGTAAAAGGGAACCGACTCGTCAAACGTGACGTCCTGAGAGGACAGAACACGACGTGTGGTTGGGTGGTAAAACTGCCAGCCAGGCGCGTCAGTGGGAAAGCCAAGGAAGACGCAGGGAATGGCGCGAGAGGAGAGCTTGTCCGCGGTGGTATCGCGGACAAAGGCACGAGAGCCCCAGACCCGGAACACCGACGCATCGCCGACCTCCCCCGTCCAACGCAGTGTAGGCGAGGTCTCTGGCAAGGAGACACGGGGCCAGAGGTTGAGCTGATGTGCAGCGTACCGGACCGCAAACGGCCACAGGAAATGGGGAGCAGCCGCATGGATCATGGAGGTACGAGCGACCTCCATGACCAAGCCAATGCGGCGCTAAAAAATTCCATTATGCTGTGGGAAGGCCGGAAGCGTGAACGACTGGAGGATGCCCTCCCCCTGACAAAAGTCCCGCAGGAGGTGGGAGGAGAACTCACCACCTCTGTCAGAGTGCAGACGCAAGACAGGAAGGTCTTGGCGGAACTGCTCGCGGAGCTGGAGACGGACAGCGCGGATCCAAGGGATCAAGACATCAGGACCTCCCCCTTGCTGCACAAGGGGAAGACCGTGGTGTAACGCGAGTAGTCGTCAACAACTAGCAGAAAGTATCGTTCGCGGTCCTGTCCATTGACGCAGGCTGGGCCCCACGTC